AAAACTCCAAATAGAATGGGCATTTTCAGTCTACGTAGTAAATAGAACATAAAAGGAGAACTGTACATGAAACTACAGGTGTCTCCAGCTTGGTTTTTTTAAATTTTTATTTTTAAGTGTCTACTGAGTTCAATGTGGAGCTTTCAGAGCTATCCTACCTGGCTGTGCTTCTTGCTCTTGACCCTTTACCTCTCGAAGCGGCCCATTCCACATTAGGCAGATCCAGGGCTCTCTGTTCTGCCCTCTGAGGCCAGAAGTTTGAACCCTCTGTTTCATTGATAGCCTTTCAAGTACTTGAAGACAGCTATCAAGACCAGCATTCCCTACCTCCTACCTCCACTTCTTCTCTTTGCCAGATTAAACATTCCCACTTTCAACTGATCTATAATAGGAAAGTTAAATAAATACCTAACTACTTTAATAAACCCTAACTACTTTAAAATTAAGTCCTACCATCAGGTGCTTTTTTTCTTTTTCTTCCATATTCTATCCCTCTAGCCTAATGGAATTTCCTTGAGTGGAGAAGGGAGGTGGGAAGAAAAAACTATGCTCACAGAACCTAACACCCCTCCCCTGCCCCTAAATCCATTCCTTTCTCCTGGGGACGCATCCTCCTGTGATGGCCATTTTCCACTTGTGATGTCCACTTCTTTCTCTTCTCATAATACACACTCATCTCCCTGGCTCCCCTGCCGTGCCCAGTGTCTACCTCCCCCCTCTACTGGACAACTGTTCATTCTGTTCCCTGCCCAGGAAGTGGGGGTCTGCCCCTCCCAGCTGAGAACCAGGGTGCACCTGTCCCTGGTGTTCAGAAGCTATGAGGGGAGGGTGGTGGCAGGCAGAGGACAGTGCCAGCCAGGCATGGATGCCCAAGTAGTGGTGACCTTCTTCTCCCTGTTCCTCCCCTAACCTCACTGTGCTGGCTGACACAGCCAGCCGCTATCTGTATACTGAGCTATCTCTGGCTTATGCCTCCCTTTCCTTTCCTGTTATGCCCCCAGGGTGCACTGCTGGCCCCCTCCCCCAATCAGTGTAGAGGCAGCCCCCTTCCCTGTGAGATGCCCCATTGTAGCTATGGGCACACCAGGGCAGCAGCTGCTAATTAGCACTTGGCTCCATTAGAGTTATTTCTGATGCCTGAGCCTAAATTTAGCCTGGCTGGCAGGCTGTCATGTGTATGTCTCTTCTATGCCCCCCCCACCAACTCCTGACTTGATGGAGGGGAGGGCGGAGATGACTGATTTTTGGGGAGGGGGATCAGGTACTGCCTGAGCTCTCCCTGATTTCTCCCTTGGGTTGGTTCTAATATAAGTGTCAAGGATGAACTGGGAGAAACCCAGGTGTCCCACTAGGCTTTGCTCACCTGAATACCTCCCATGATCCATAGGACTGCACTATCTGATAGGGCTGGAGCTGCCTCCTTTGGATGTTTCCTGGTATACGAGAAAGAGTGTTGGTTCTGGAGTCAAAAGTCTTGGGTTCAAATCCCAGCTCCACCATTTCTTATTGTGACCTTGGGCAAGTAGGTCGCTTTGTCTCTCTAGCCCTTTTTCTACAACTGTAAAGTGAAACAATTGAACTAGATGACCTCTGATAACCCCTCCAGCTTTAAATCAGTGATGTTATGATTTCTCTCGACTCCTGGGAATGCCTCCCCCCAGGTACTGTGTGTCTCTACCTTCCTCTCCCCCTTCCCAAAAAAAGTCATAGTCATTTTCTAGAAGAATTTTTGATCACCAGGGCTGAGGAAGATGGAGAGGCCAATGGGAAAAGGTTCCAGTGGGAAGCTTATTCCCTTTCCTTTCCATGTCTCCCCATCCCCACCTCAAGGCTCTGGGTCTCCCTGTCCTATTCGCTCCATGGCTTCTGTACCCTGTAGCTATACACTCTCTTCTGTTGTGCTAATTTTCCTGACTGGCTTCACAAATTCTGTCAAAGGTATCTAGGTATCCTCTTCCATCTCTTCCCTTATCTTTGTCTCTCTTCTCCATTTCACTTTTTCTCAATCTCTGCCCCTATTCTCTTTGCATCTTTCTCTTCTTCTCTGAGTCCATCTCACTCCCCCATTTTTCTTATCTAGTTCTTCTGTCTTTGTCCCTTGCTTGTGCAGGGCACGTGGGAAGCGGTATATGTCTGTCTTTTCCCTCCCATCTCTGTCTTCCACTCCTCTCCTTCCCAATTCTCTCTGACTCTGGATCCTCTTTCCCAGTGTCTATCTGTTTATCTCTGGCTCTTCTCCTGCCTGTGACTTCTCTCTCTGACACCTGTGTCTTACCAGTGAAATGAAACAGACATATATAGACATCTTGGGTTGTGTTGGGTGGTGAGGTGGGTCTAGACAGAAATGTGCTTGAGGAATTGCATTTTGTAATACTCAAACCAAGCAGGTGATTTGGTGGCTCAGAACATCTAAGCGACTGTTATCCCTTCAGTGGATGAATCCCTTGCTCAGAACCCACCCAAACAAGAGGCAGTTATTGGTCCTCAACCAAACCCTTTGAGGGGCACTACAGTACCATTGCCCTTTGATCAGACTTGGCCTATTCCTTTTGGTGATTGCATGGTGAGGGGAGCAGAGAAGAGATAGAACTTGTTTCCTGTTTCATAACTGGGGGAGAGGGAAGATGTTCCCCTACTATCTTCCTCAACTTGGCCCTGGTCTGTCTGTGGGGAACAGGCCATCAAGCCTGGAAGGGTTACCACATTTCCTGTGGGGGTGGGCCCAGGACCAGTGGTTAGAAAATGGCGGCTCTGAGTGCTTCATTTCCTGTTGCCTGGAGGACAGTCCACACAGCAGTGATTTGGGGGTGAGGCTTGACGTCCTCTAACGTTCAGAGGTTCCCCAGGTCCATACTTTGGTTTTGGTATACCCAACCTGGCCTTCCTGGAAGGGGGCCATCTGAGGAGGGAAGTTCTATGGGAAGGTGTGGCCTGGACTTTCCCTCCTATTATGAGCTAACATGTTGGCTTGGGAGTCACAGAGGCCAAAAAGGGGTCTCTTTACATCTCTCTAAGGCTATGGTCTAGGGATAGTTTTTACTGTGTCTGTGAACTTGGATGGGCCAAAATTTAAAAGAAATTACACTTTTCATTTATTTAGCATTTTAGCATTTATTTAGAAAATTGAGCATTTCTTTCAATCATTTAAAAACATTCTTCTGAGAAGAGGTCTGAGTAAAGTCTTCACTCAGACTATCAAAGGGGTCCATGAAATAGAAAAACTTCTTCCTTAGTTAGAGGGAGGTCAAGTGAGGAGGGCACATGTGTGGGAGAATATAATAAAATCTGAACTCATTAAAACTTTGGAATATTTGAGTGTGTGGCAACACTTATGGGCCATATAAGTTGGGGTATGTGAAAACGTTCGTGTTCCAGGGTGTATATATTAAAACATTAGTGTGCATGTGTGTGTTGGGGAGGTATATATGAGAACATTGTGTGTGTAGGTATGTCTATATGAGGACATTATTGTGTATGTGGGTGTGTTCAAGAGAATTAATATGTGGGAGTATGTGTGATTGCGTTTGTATAATAATGACAACAGTAATAGCCAACAGTTATATAAAACTTTAAAAGTTTGCAAGGGAGTTGACATTTAGTCATATGGGTTCCTCACAACAACCCTAAGAAGTGGGTGCTATTATTATTAACCCCTTACTTCAGTTTTACAGGTGAAGAAACTGAGGTTAAGTGATTGCTCAGGGTCCCACAGGTAGAGTCTGAGTTGGGATTTGAAATCAGGTGTTCTTGACTCCAAGTTAGGGCTCTCTGCACTGTATTAAATGAGAAGGTGTGTGTGGGAGATGTATGTAAGCAAAGGAGATGTGTGTATATGTATGTATGTGAATGGGTTGGTAGCGGTATATGTAAGTGAAGGGGACTTAGTGTTCATGATCAAAGGGAGGTAAGAAGAGTGGGGGGCAGGAGCAGAGACGGAGAGAGGAGGTGGTAGAGAGGGAGAGGAAGAGAGAGAGAGAGGAGACTTAGGGATATCATATTAGGAGTCTAAGTTTCTGTTTGACCCTTGAGGTGGAATGAACTTGGCCCGCAGGTCTATTAAAAAGCTTTTGGGGCCCCCAGAGTTCTCCACCCTGTGGTCCTTATATGATGCAGCTCAGTCAGCAGCCCTGGGCAAAAAAGGTTCCTATGGTTAGGAAAAGGACAGTATAAGGTAAGCTTGCAGATTTATTCCATTGAGGGTCATGGAAGGTGGATAAAAGAGAGACAGGTTGATCTTTTTTTCTAAAACTCAGATTTCCAAGGGAATTCCCAGGTAGGGGGCAGGAGTAGAACCCAAGAGGCTGAAACCCCAGGCCCTGGTGGTTTGTCTTACTTCCTGTGGGGCGTGTTCTTTCCTCTCCAAAGTCCCCTTCCCACACGAGAAACCATGACTCACCTTCCCCAACAACCCAGACTTGAGTTTCTCCCACTTTCCAAGCAAAATGGCTCCTCTATAGCCATCAGGGAACCCCAAAAAGCCCACACTGGAGTGTTGGGATTTGAGGGAGGGAGAAGAGGAGCCTGAGTCCTTCTCCACAGAGTAGTTTGCTGGGTGTTAAGTTCCTTTGAAGGAGTTGAATGATACTCAGGTGAGTGTTTGTGCATATATGGGAGGGTTACACATGTAAGCAGGTGTGTGTTTAGGCGGCCCATGGGCATGGTTAAGAAGGGAAGTAGAGGGCTCCCTGTATATTGCACCGCTCTATCCTCATACCATACCAGGTCAGCGAGGAAAGTAGGCCAAATCCATGTCGGGGATGGAGAAACTGGGGCCCAGGAAGGTTAAAGAACAGGCTAAGGTCATTCAAGGAGCTGCTGGAAGAACCGGCCTTGGAACCCAGGGCTCCCACTTTTCATCCTAGGCTCTGTTGCTGTGGGATCATCTGTCACAGGCTTTGGGGGACTCTGTATTTGCCCACCTTCCCATTGTTTGTTCCCACCATCCCTCCCATTCCCTAGACACTAACACCTCTGTTCATTTGTCTCTCTGCCCCTGGCAGAACTGCATGAACCTGCCCCCGGACAAGATACAGCTTCTGAGCCAGTATGACAGTGAAAAAAAGTGGGAGCTGATCTGTGACCAGGTAAGAGCAAAGTGGGACCCTCCCCTGGGGGACATGGGGGTGAGGAGGAGGAAGGTATGGGGAATGGGGGAGGGGAACAGAAGGGCAGGAATCACTCGTAATCCTTCAGCTGGTGTGATGTGAGGGTACTGTGGGGAAATAACATTCTGGGTGGGAGGGATAGCCAGTAGAGGGAAGGAGCTATGGCCTAGATTTAGAGCCTGGAGTGGAGTGACTTATGCAGCTCTTAGGAATTCCCCCCCAACTTTCCCCACGAGGGACAAAGCACCAATTTAGTCACTGACTGGTTAGATAAAGAACACTTAGTCTGAAGGGCTCAGGGCTGCCCTGAGAGCAAAGCCAGAAGCATTACTCCAATATTCTGTGTTCTCACCAAAGAGGGCAGATCACCACCACATGGACACAGCCCACTCCCAGCCTGCGAGTCACTGTGGACCCCTGGGAACATGTCCTTCACCCACGAGGGGCTTACACATCTGAATACAAGCCTTCTCCCAGCCAAGGCTCTGGGGAAGGGAAGGGAGGGCAACTTTAATGTCTGTAGTGTTAGAAAAAGAGCAGTGGATGTGAAGTCAGGACACTTGGGTTCGGATCTCATCAAAGCTCTGGTGCTTCCTGGTTGTGTGACCATGGATAGGCCACATCACCTCTGACCTCTCTGAGTCTCAATTTCTTCATTTGTAAAATGTGGATAAGAATATTTCCAATTTCACAAGGTAGTTGTTTTTATTTTTGGGGGGGGAGGGGGGCTATTTGCTTTATTAACAAGCATTCTCTCTCCCTCCTACTGCCATCTCCTCTCCTCCCCCATCAATTAAACAAACAAACAAACAAACAAAAAAAAGAAAATTAAACCTTAACAACAAGTATTCGTAGTCAAGCAAATTCCCTCATTGGCCACATCCAAAAATGTATAACCCGTTCTGCATCTCTTTGTCAGATGGTAGGTAGCACGTTTCATCTTTAGTTGTCTGGAATGTGGCTTGCCTGTGCATTGATCAGAGTTCTCAAGTCTTCCAAAGTTGCTTTTTAAAAAATATAATGTTGTTGTTATTACACAAATTGTTTTCTCAGCTACGTTCACTTTGCTCTGCATCATTTCATATGGATCTTCCCAGTTTTCTATTAAGTTGTCTATTTTTGTCATTTCTTATAGTAAAATAGTATTCCTTTACATTTCTGTACATAATTGGTTTAGTTATTCCTCAACGGCTAGGCATCCCCTTATTTGCCAGGTTTTTTTTGCCACTAAGAAAAGGACTACTACTAAGAAAAGAGTCTGGCCTCAGACACTCGACACTTAACTAGCTGTGTGACCTTCGGCAAGTCACTTAACCCCCGATTGCCTCACCAAAAAAAGAAAAAAAAGAGGTGCTGCAAATATTTTTGTGCACATGGGTCATTTCCCTCTTTCGCTGATCTCTTTGAGGTATATACCTGGTAACGGTGTTGCTGGGTCAAGATATGTGCTTCAGAGAGTGCTAGCATTTATATAGCATTTTAAGATTTGCAGAGATCTCATTTTATCCTTAACAACCGTCCTGGAAAGTAGGTGCTGTTATTCTCATTTTACAGATGAGCAAACCGAGGCAGAAACTGGTTGAGTGACTTGCCCAGGGTCACACATCTAGTAAGTGTCTCAGGTTGGATTTGAACTCAGATCCAGAGCTCTACTCACTTCTTCACCTAGCTGCCATTGTAAGGGAAGTGCTTAATAAACTTTAAAAATACCATAGTACAGTAATTGCTCTTTATTAAAGTGTTTTGATGTCATAATAATAACATCATACCACCTGATTTGATATTGTGTTTTAGCACCGAAGAAAAAAACCTATCTTTATGTGTTTTCTCATTTGTCCCTGGAAGGTGGTACAGGAGGATTATGTTCCCATTTTACAGATAGATTCTGGCCCAGAGAAATTGAGTGATTTGCTACGCAGAACTGGTTGGTTCTCACCACCATGTTTGAGATTTGCCGGATGCCCTTACTTTTCTCCCTGCCCTGCTGTGGCCCATCAGCTCTGTTGTTAGAAGCCGCCCAGGAGGGAGGGGCTGGGCTGGGGAAAGAGAAAGCCTCACCGCTGCAGTGAGGGATGGAGAAACATAGAAGAGCCTTCTCTCCCAGCAAGCAGCTAGGGAGGAGGAGGGATGAGTGAGGAAACCTCCCCAGAGACCCAGGGTTGGGTCCTGGCTCTCTTGCTAATGGTATGGTGGAGCTGCTTTGCTGAGAATCCTCATGGGGTGTATGTGTGTGATGGTGGTGGTAGGGATGGTTAGCAGGGAACTAAGCTAGGAACTGGGGATAGGACTAGGGATGAGGATCCACAAATTTGGGGGCATTGCAAAGGCTCCCACTGCTGGAATCAAAGGGATTGAGAGAGGGGAGAAGCTGAGGGTGTGGAGAATGTCATAGAAGTCCTGAGGAGAAGGTTTTGACTTCAACTCAGGGTACCTTGAGTTTTGTTAGAAAGAAGCAGGTATTGGCACCTGTGAATATCTTCTGATAGGTACAAAGAGATAAGCCGTGTGTGCCCCTCCTGACATGGGAACATGCTCTAACATGAGAGTACGTAGCTAGGCAGGGGCCTGAAGGACAGCTAGTGTGTGTGTGTGTGTGTGTGTGTGTTGAGGGGGGTGGTACTTTCTGCCTACTAAGACCTCTGCAGCTGCCACTCCTGGGCTGGGCAGATGGCTTGAGGGGGTGTAAGGCTTTGGAAATAACAGGGCAACCAGGAGCTCCAGCCTCAAGGATGGGAATGGCGCTGCCTAGGCCACTGGGAAGGTGGACCGAAGGCAGTGGTCTTAGAATGTTGACTTCAGAACTTCTCTCCCTTGGCTGTGAGCCCTGACCTTGGACAGAGGAGGGGCATGGCATCTGGGCCCACTGCCCAAGGTGGCAGCATGGGCAGAGCTTGGAAAGGGGTAGGAGAGCCATCTAGTGGTGTTTCACTGTCAACACAAGGCAAGGCCTTTGGGTCTTTCTTGGGGACTGAGGGTGTGGTCAGAGGCTGAAGTTAAGAGATGTGTTAGGGGCTAGGCCATGGAGCTGGGGGCTTTTGAACATGGATTTGGTATTCATCCCTTTCAACCAAACAGTACCCCATACATCCATGCACACATCTCACATGTATGGGGTGATGTAATATACATATACAAATATATCTATGAATATAATATGAATCATGGTGGGGGAGACAGTGAAGGTGGTGGGGGCAAGCCCAAGCATTTTCCCCACAGTCACCACATGAAGTAAGTAGTATAAGTATTGTTATTCCCCTTTAATAGATGAGAATACTGATGTTCAAAACCGATATTCTCTCTATCACACTTCACTGGTCCCTTATGAGTATTTTTTTAGCATCCTTAACTCAGGCTAAGGGCTAGGGGAAAGGGCCAAATTGGAAAGAGAGCCAGCCGGTAGTGCTGCGTGCCAGGGACGGGGTGAGGGAGAGCAGGGGGAACTAAATATTAGAGATTTTTGTAAGGAATGGTTACTCAACATACAGTTCAATATCACAGCGACTTTTACCAGATAAGAAGTCGAGACATGCACAAGTGGACGGTCTTGAGTCTGGCTTCCTTCCTTTCTGTTTATCAGAGGAGGGACTGATGGTCAAAGATGAATGGTCCTTCCTCCCTCCGTGTCCCTTTGAGCCTTTTTTAGTCCCAGCACATCTGGACGCCCTCTTTCTTCTTTTTCCCTTCTCAGTTTCATTTCCTTCACATGTGGTGGTTGGGAGGTGGTGAGGGGGCTGGACTAGATGACAGATCTAAAGTTCCTCACAGCCCTGAATAGATGATGACTAGCTAGCCCCGTATTTAAAGCCAGAAAACCCGGGTTCAAATCCTATCTATGTGTTCATAGGACCAATTTCAATTAATAGCTAGCATTTATGTAATGCTTTAAGGTTGGCAGGCAGCTTGGTGGCACAGTGGATACAGTGCTGGGTCTTTAAATCTCACTAGCTGTGTGACCCTGGACAAGTCACTTCACCTTGTTTGCCTCAGTTTCCTCATCTGTAAAAAATGAGCGGAGAGAAGGAAATGCAAACTACTCCAGTATCTTTGCCAAGAAAACCCCAAATGGGGTCAGGAAGAGTCAGACATGACTGAAAAATGACTGAACAGCAACACCATTAAGGTATCTCATTTGATCCTCATAACAGTCCTAGGAGGTAGATGCTATTATCATTCCCATTTTATAGATGAGACAAAGAGTTGCCCAGCGTCACACTAGTACATGGCTGAGGCAGGATTCAGACTCAGTTTTCTGGACTCCAAGTCCAGCACTCTATCTAGGTTTACTATCCAACTGCCTGACTCAGAGCTGCCAGGGATCTTTGAGGTCATCTGGGCCAATCTTCTCCTTTTACAGATGAGGAAACTGAGGCCCAGAAAGCTTAAATCACTTGTCCAAAGTCACACAGATAGTAAATGGCAGTACTAGGATTTGAACCCATTTCATTTGATGTCAGATCCTCTGTTCTCTTCATTTTAAGTGGTTTTTTTTTTCTTCTACTCTTCCTTGACAAATCACTTAACTTTTCTGGGTCTCAGTTCCCTCATTTGTAAAATGAAGGAGTTGGCCAGAGTGATCCCTGAGGTTCATTTTAGCTCAAACCCTATCATCCTATGCCCCTCTTTTTTCCCCCTCTGCCACTTTTGGTCAGATCTCCCCATTTGTGCCTGGAGCTTCCAGGTGCGTTCTGTCCTGTGTGTTGGAGAAGGCAGATGTATGGCTGGGCAATGGAAGCATTCGGACACTCTCCGCCTTTCTCTTTCCCCTCCTCCCAGGAGCGGTTTCAAGTCAAGAACCCCCCAGCGGCCTATATCCAAAAACTTAAGAGCTACCTGGAGACGGGTGGAGTCAGCAGAAAGGTGACAGCTGATTGGATGACAAACCTGGGGGTATCTACCTCCTCTTATATTGTCTTTCTTCTCTCTTCCCTTGCACCTTTCACACCTTGGGCACCAGGAATAGAGTGTGTATGTGGCGACATGTGCATGTATGTCCAAGCGAGAGAGTACCCTGGATAGATTAGTGTGAATGGGAGCATCTGTGCCTGCCCATAGCTATGGTTAGTGTCCCAGCAGATGTGAGAAAATGGGGAGGAAAGGGAGGCAGGACCATGAAAAGGGTGTGCCCGCTGGTGTGTGTGTGAAAAGAGGCAGGATGGGCAGGCCTGGGGTTCCTACATACCAGGTTTCCTCTGCATTTGGCTCATAGTTTAAGAGGCGAGTTCAGGAGTCCACACAGGTCCTGCGGGAGCTGGAGATTTCACTGAGGACCAATCACATTGGGTAAGTGAGGGCCCCTGGACTTCCCATGTCATAGCAGAAGTGACTGGCCCCTAAGCTAGGGTGCAAGTCTCGGGGGCCCTTATTCTTGCTTTCTTACCATAGTCAGAACTCTAGCTTGCCATCTGGGCTTTGTTTCAGTGAGCCGCGGTGTCTCTATGTTGAAGGGAGGGGGAGAAATTCTATCCATTTATAATGGGTTCTTAACTACTTCTGTATATCATGGATCTCTTTGGCAGTCTGGTGAAGCCTGTGGACTCCTATCTCAGAATAATGTTTTTAAATGCGCAAAACAAAATATATAAGATTACGAAAGAAACCAGTTATATTGAAATACAACTGTCAAAATAAAGACAACTAAATACAAAATAAATACAACTAAATACAATTACCAAAATATTTTTAAAAACAAATTTGCAGACCTTTGGTTAAGAACCTCTGACTTAAAATCTGCCGTTCACTCTGTATCCTGGCACAGACTTGGGGGGTGCCTTCCCTCCCTCCCTTTTCTTCCAGCGGGAGATGGCAGTGGGCTCTTTCTCTTCCCCATCTATCTGGACCACCCCCATACCAAGCAGAGGTGATAGTAGATTCTGTGCTCTGAACTTCCCATCACAGATGACAGCTAGTGCCTGGAAGCTGTTGTCTAGTGAGCCAATGCCAGGGTGTGCCTGGTGCCTGGGAGGCACCGTGAGGAAGTGGACGTTTCCCTAGGGGAGCCTGGAAGATGGCACCGTACTGCCAAGCTGTTCACTTTCTCATTTACCTCCTCCTCCCTCACCACGCCCCTGGGTTTGGGATAGTAGGAGTAACAGTAGCAACGTCTTCTCCTTTGGGCCTCGGAGGAAGTTGCCTCTCCCGTTCTATGTCCTTTCTCCAATAGGTGGGTACAAGAGTTCCTAAATGAAGAGAACCAGGGCTTGGACGTGCTGCTGGAGTACCTGGCCTTCGCCCAGTGTTCAGTCACGTAAGACCACCCACTCTTTCCCTTCATCCTATTTTTGCCTCTTTTCACCCCACCCAGGAAGTCGTAAAGGTAGATGAACGGTGCTGACGTTGTACCCTCCTTCCTCCCACCTCCGTCCCTGGGCTAGTGGTCAAGTCATTCCTGGCACAGTAGCCTGACTCTGGTTCTCTTGGCTTTCGCCCCCAACTCCCACTCCCTTAACATACATATGCACTCCGCGTAGTCTCATGGAACCAAGGTCTCTGTTCTTGGGTGGTGGGAGAAATAGCAGTGGCGAGACATAAGAATAGTCCAGGCTCAGGGCAGTACCGTGGTGTCAAGCCTTGATGGTAAGAGCACTGAATTTATAGTTAGAGGACCTTGGTTCAAAGCCCAGAGCTGTTCCTTCCCTCCTTCCCTCTTTTCTTCAAGCATTCATTACGCTTCTACTTTGTGCGAGGCACTGTGCAAGTTATTGGAGATACATAGACACAACAAAACAGTCCCTGCCTTCCAAGAGCTTACATTCCACTGGGGCTTGGAGGTAAGGATAATACTTACTCAAAAGATAAGTAAAATACAAAATATATTACTACCAGGCATGCCCCTACTTCTGTCTTTGGGCCTCAGTTTCTTCATCTGTAAAATGGATGAGCTGAACTGATGATCTCTAAGATTCTTTCCATCTCTATCTAGTGCCTACGATCTTATTTTTCTTTGTAGTCTCTGTAGTGTCAGAGGCAGTTGGGTGGCGCAGTGGATAGAGCGCTGAGCCTGCAGGCAGATAGGTCTGAGTTCAAATCCAACCTCAGACCTTACTTTCTGTGTGACCCTGGGCAGGTTACTTAACCTCTGTTCGCTTCAGTTTCCTCAACTGTAGAAAGGGGATAAAAATGGCGCCTACTTCCCAGGTTGTGAGAATCAAATGAGATAGTATTTGTGGAGTGTTTAGCATAGTGCCTGGTATGTAATAGGTGCTATATAAATGTTAGTTGTCATCATCATCCTCATCAGAGGCAGCTAGGTGGCACAGTGAATAGAGCACTGGGCCTGGAGTCAGGAAGACCTGAGTTCAAATCTAGCCTTAGACATTAATAGCTCTGTGACCCTGCGCAAGTCACTTAACATCTGTTTGCTTAACTGTAATAAAGGGGATAGTAAGAGCACTTACCTTTCAGGGTTGTTGTGAGGATCAAATGAGATAATATTTGTAAAGTGCTTAGCACAGTGCCTGGCACCTAGCAGGTGCTATAGAAATGCTTCCTCTCCTTCCTCTTTCCCATATCCAGCCAAGTGCCATGTACCTAGTGCAGGTGGGGAGCCGACAGATGTATCTCTTGCCATCTTCCCAGGCTGTCTCTTTTCTGCTGATCTGTGCGCCTAATTGTTCTTCTGTGCTCTTCTTTCCCTCGTTAACCTTGGGAGGACTTTCCCTGATCACCGCTGCTGCTCTCCTGGCTCCCGCCTCTTCAGGCCGTCACCATTGCTCTTGCCAGGTTGGGTCCGTAGCCCGCTAATCCGTCTGCCCCTGCAGGTATGACATGGAGAGCACAGATAATGGCACCCCCAGCCCAGAGAAGAGCAAGCCTCTGGACCAGTCAGTTGAAGATCTCGGCAAGGGCTCTCCCCCGTCTTCCTCCTCCTCCTCCTCCCTGTCCCAGGGCAAGGGCCGCCACCTGACTGTCAGGTAAAAAGGACTCTGTTCTTCCTCGTGCTGTTCTGGAAATGTCTGGAGGGCCTCGCAGGTGGCCTGGGGGTTGAGCTCATTTCCAGGAAGTGCCTGGGTGGTATCCTTGCCCAGGCTGGCGACTCTTAGGAGGGAGGCAGAAACCCCTCTGTGCTCTGTGGGTAGATTGGGAAGGAGGTGTATTTGGGGACATTGCTAGAAAGGGCCTATGGGACTGCAGGAGAAACGATGCGAGGAATGGATATGGAATAATAAGCTGTTGGCCGCTGGGCACTGGGTGATGGTGGAAGAAAAGCCGCCAGCAGAGAGTTGGCAACAGTGGTTAGTTCTGCCTGGTAGTGGCGAGCTATCCTATGCCCAAGAATCATAGATGGGACCTTAGAAGCCATCAAGTCTAATCCTCCCATTTTACGGATGGGGGAACTGAGGCACAGAGAGATTATGTGACTTGCCCATACAGCTAGTAAGTGTCTGAGGTGGGATTTGAACTTGGGTCTTGACTCTAAGCCCAGCACTCTAATCCGCTGCACCACCTAGCTGCTTAAGGGACAAAGGGAAATTTCTACTGAGGCTCTCTTCTTTCCTCTTCTTAACTCTTTCTTTTCTCTTGCTGTCTCTAGATGTCCCCCTTCTCCCCGGTATGTAATGTTCTGGCAGAATTGGGGTGCATGCTTGGGTCCCATCTCTGTTCCCCGGGGGTCAGTTCCAGGCTGAGGGGAGGGAAATAGGAGCTGCCATCTTCCTAATTTAGCATTATTGGAAGGCTGTAGTTTGGCTGCCCCCCAACTCCAATTCTGGGAGCATTGCCACCAGGGTCATTGCTTCTGCTGGCTATAGGGTGGAGAGACTGTCTTTTCAGCTTGTTTAGGTATTGAATCCTCTGTTGATCCTCAGTTCTCCATCGCCAGTTGGGTCCAGGTGACTAGACTCACATGGATGCTCAGCTCAAAGTCCTCTTGCTTTAGAAAGAGGCAAAACTTATTCCATTTATATCAGTAATGCCAGAGGTCCCCAGTAATTGACCATTGGTGCCCATCAAAATCTTGCTTAAGCACCAAGGTCCTTTGGCATCATACTCAGCTGGGTACCGTGAAGAGCAAATCAGCCAGGCCTATACACAAGTGTGTATGTATGTGTACATATATATATATATACACACACACATATATATACATATATACATACATATATATGTGTATATATATATATATTCAAGCAGGACATACATTTGTTCAGGTATTTACATCCTGGAATCATTGACTGAGATTGGGAAGGGACCTTAAGAATCATCTAGTCAACTCCCCCTTGTTTTATAGGTAAGGAAACTGAGGCCCAGTCAGGGGAAGCTGATTTGCCCAAGGTTAGTCAGGTATTGAGTAGCAGAATCTGGATCCAAATCCAGGGCCCCAGACACCTTTCCTCTCATCCCACCACCTCCTCATTTGTAAGCCAAAGTATAGGAAGAGACTAAGTCATCAACCAGCACTTCAAGAAGCAGTTATTATACACCTACTCTATGTTCTTTGTTTTACCTGGGTTAAATGCTGGGAGATATAAAGACAAAAATTAACATAGTCTCTGCCCTCAAGGAGTTTATGGTCTATCAGCATAAATTGTCTCAGAGCTAATCCCCTCTTCCTAGAGTTGAACAAGATCTCCCCCAGAAGACAGTTTGACATATATCAGAGCAAAAGAGGGGAACCTGGATTATCTGTCCTTTTCCGGGGGCCGGTGAAGCCCCTAGGGGCCCTGATTTTAGGTCTGGCATTGTAGGGCTGTGGCTGGCTGGTAATTGGTGGGAGGAAGGAGGGCATCACGGTCCTAGAGTGCCCTGAAAGTTTAGTTCCTTCAGGGCAATAGCAGGACCAGGAGGAGGGGGTCCCAAGGATATTCTGGGCTCTAACCTGTCTTCCACGGCCTAGGCTAAACCCAGCTCACAGCCGGAAGACCCTGAGGAACTCCCGTATTGTCAGCCAGAAGGACGATGTACACGTGTGCATCATGTGCCTCCGGGCAATCATGAATTACCAGGTGAGCACAGTCTGGCCCCTGGGTGGGGAGGGGATGGCAGGGCCCTGTGGATAACCTCAGGACAGTGGGGGGTGGTTGGGGATAGCCCAGCCCCAGCTCTTGGGGAAGTCACTCTCTTCTTCACAGCCAGGAGCATCCAAAGAGGCAGTTTTGACTTTGAACTCCAGGAATTCAAGAAGTTTCAAATTCTAGCTTGATAGTGGAATCCACCAGCCCCATCCCAAGTAGAGGCAAGATCCATCCTGCGGGTTCCAGCTTGAGGGAGGGTGGTTAGGATGTAGGGTTCCTGCTACAACTGTGGGGCAGTAGAGGTTACCTTGGAATAATGGTGATAGTCTATGAGATGATAATGTTGATGAGGTCACCATGGTCACCTGGTGATGAGTCTAGCCTCTCTGTACTTATCTCAGCTAGCAGATATGCCCTGTTGCTGAAACCTTACTGGCTAAGCTTGGTAGGACTTGCTGGAGCTTGTTTTCTGCTGGCCTATTTGGTGTTGGAGAACCCAGTTTCACCTTCATATCATGTGTGTGATAACACATCAGAGGAGAATTATAGTGGAATATAATAATAATAATAATAATAATATATTAAATATTTTTATATAAATATACATTTAATAAAATGTTCAATGTAATATTTAAATAGATGTGCTACATTAATATATATAACATAAAATATAACAATAGATAATATGTAAATAAAATTCCCCCTGAAGGGCCCTCTGCATTCTTTCTTTCTACCTGCCTCTATTCTGCAGAAATCCTCTAATCTTCATCTTTGCAGTAGAGATAACTCTGGATTATTGGAGGCTTTGCTTGCAGAGCCCAAGCTCTAACCAGTCTTGCCAAGATGGAAATGTTTCACATATGGTCCAGGGGACACACAAGGTCTCTTATCTGAGGACCAGCTCAGAGGCTTATCACCTATAGGCTTGGCACCAAGCTAGGAATTGTTCAGTCATGGCAACCCAAGAAACAAAGAAAATGCAAAATGGCCCTCAGCTTCAAGCTGTGACTTTATCAGAGTAGAGGAAAAGGGAGCAGAGGGAGCTATGAATCACACAATTTTGAAACTGTTTGATTGCATTAATCAAATTTGCATAAATCAAATTTAGGTGGCAAAGCCGCCTAAGTGAGGTCTGTAATCACCCAAAGGAGTTTGGCATATTTGTCCAATGTGTACTTTGTATAGACCCTATTGATGGAGACTGACCTGGGTCTAGAATTGGACAGGAGGAAGAAAGTATACTGGATTGCATTTGGGAAATTACTCAGTGTTTTTAATGATTCCAAACTTCTTCCAATGATGCCCTTTGGCTGTGAGTCATGGAATATCACTACCCTCTAAAGAATTAAGTGGTGGGTTGCCTAAAGAGCAAGGGAGAGCCCCAGGGAGGAGACAAGTAGACTGTAGCATTTTACCAGCAAAGAATTGTGCACAAGATTGTGAGAGATGGCATCAGAAGACATAGGTAGCCAGAAGAGGATGTGGCTTGACCTTGTGTAAGGGATAACTGACAGAGAGTGCCATGTTCTTCATTGGTATCTGTGTAATGCCAAGAGACCTAGATGATCTTGAAGATCATCGTGGAGACTTTATGGGAGGACACGTGCAAGAATTACATAGAGTGAGAAGACATAGTCTACACTATTAGAAAATAGTAGTAATAATTTAATAAGAATAAGAATAAAACCTTTTGTATAGCACTTTAGGATTTGAAAAGCTCTTGACAAAATTAGTCTCATCCCCACAATAACCCTGGGAGGTAGGTGCTTATTGTCCACATTTTACAATCTATAGATCACTGGGCCTGGAGTCAGGAAAACCTGAGTTCAAATCCAGCCTCATAGGCTTACTAATCTGGGTGAACCTGGGCAAGTCACTTAACCTCAATCTGTCTCAGTTGCCTTAATTGTAAAATGGGAATAACAATAGTGCCTACCTCCCAGGGTTGTGGTGAGGATCAAATGAGATAATATTTGTAAAAGCCCTTAGCACAGTGCCTGGTACATAGCAGGCACTTATCAATAATAATAATAATAATAGCTAACATTTATATGGCACTTACTTTATACCAGGCACTGTGCTAAGGGCTTTTACAAATATTATCTCATTTGATCCTTACACCAACCCTAGGAGGTAGGTGCTATTATTATCACCATTTTTACAGATGAGGAAATGTATTCCCTTGTCCCATTTCCCTTTTGCAGATGAGGAAACTGAGGCAGTCAGAGGTTACATGACTTGCCCAGAGCCATACAATTAGTAAGTATCTGAGTCCTGAGATGAATAAATATATGTGTGTATATATGTATTTATACATATATATGTATACACAAATACACACACAGAGTAGTATTTAGAAAGCTGGGCTCGGAGCCAGGAAGACTTAGGTTCTAGGTTCAAGTCCTTTCTCTGGCTATGTGATCCTGGGTAAATCCTATAACTTCTTGGTATTCTAGTACACTAAGGCCATGAAGATGCTAACCTTTGTGTTAGACAGCCTGTCCACATTAGGGAGTTCCCTATGCCAAAGAAATCCTAAGTCCGGTGTCTGTCCCCCTTTACATCCGTTGCATTTGGTCCTTACAACCCACTGAGGTAGGTGAGGCAATTGATGTTATCCCTAATTATTTATTTATTTTTTTTGGTGAGGCAGTCAGAGTTAAGTGACTTGCCCAGGGTCCCACAACTAGTAAGTGTTAAGTGTCTGGGGCTAGATTTGAACTCAGGTCCTCCTGACTCCAAGGCCAGAGCTCTATTCACTGCACCACCTAGCTGCCCCTTATCCCTCATTTTTTCAGATGAGCGAACTCTCTGAGTCTCCATCATCCAGCTAAGAGGCAGAGTAGGATCCGAACCTAGGTCTTCTGACTCCCAGTCCATAGCTCTGTGGAATACGCCCCCCTGCCTTCATACCATTTTGTCTTAATTTGGGGATGAGGTGGGGTGCTTTGAACCTTGGAATTCTATTTAATAACTCACCCGTCAGTCTTGGATGATCTCAAGCCATCCAGGCATTGTTTACTACCCCCTTCCCAGGAATGAAGAAGATTAGAAGCCAAGGAGTGATGTGCTGGTGAATGTTTAGCAACTGGCTCTCCAAAAAATAAAAATAAAAAAAAATATATATAAATATAGATTTGTAGAATATACTATACATAATACATATTATATAAATCTATATATGTATGTGGCACACAATAAAGTATGATCTGCATTACTGACATTTTCTCTCTCTTTTAAAAATATTTTAAAATTTATTATCTGTTTATTTTTAACACTCTTTTCTTTTTAAATTTTGAGTTCCAAATTCTCTCCCTTCCTCCTACCCCTCCCCCACTAACTGAGAAGGCAAGCAATGTGATATCAATTATACATGTGAAATCACGCAAACATTTCCGTATTAGTCATATTTCAAAAAAAAAAAAGCAAGAAAAATAAAGAAAGTGAGAAAATTATATTTCAGTTTGCACCCGGAGTTCATCAGTTCTCTGGAGGTGGAGAGCATTTTTTCATCATGAGTCCTTTGGAATTGTCTTGGATCACTGTATTGATCAGAGCAGCCAACTCCTTCACCGATGATCATTGTACAATATTATAAAAAAGAAATTGTTATTGTGCACAATGATCTCCTGTCTCTTTTCACTTCACTTCGCCTCAGGTCATATAGGTCTTGCCATATTTTTTTTTCTGAAATCGCCCCTGCCCCTTGTCATTTCCTGAAGCACAATCATATACCACAACTTGTTCAGCCATTCCCCAATTGATGAGTATCCCTTTGTTTTCCAGTTCTTTACCACCACAAAAAGAGCTGCTAAAAATATTTTTGAACATATGGGTCCTTTTCCTTTTTCTCTGATCTCTTTGGGATACAGACCTAGAAGAGGTATTGCTGGGTCAAAGGGTAAGCATGGTTTGGTAGTCCTTTGGGCCTAGTTCCAAATTGTTCTCCAGAGTGGTTAGGCTAGTTCACTGCTACATTAATGTACCTATTTTTCCCCCAGCCCTTCCAGCATTTGTCATTTCTGATAGATGTGAAGTGGTACCTCAGAGTTATTTTAATCTGCTTTTAACCAATAGTGATTTAGAGCATTTTTTTATATGACTATAGATAGCTTTGATTACTTCTTCTAAAAACTGCTTGGTCATATCCTTTGACCATTTATCAATTGGGCCATGGCTCTTATTTGTAATAAATATGATTCAATAATATACTCAGTATATATTTGAGAAATGAGGCCTTTATCAGAGAAACCTACTGTAAAAATTTTTGATATTACTTCATTACTTTTAAAATTCTAGACCACCAACAAAACAATAAATCAAGCCCTGATTTATAGCATTTGCCGATTTCCAAGGTGATAATGTTCCCACTGAAAATTTAACAATTGGCCTTCTCGTGTCAGCCGGTTTGCATTGGCTCCAGTACATCCCTGAACCTAACTCTTATGGGGAATAGGTAGAGTAACCAGGATCATTTAGCCTAGAATAGGGAAGGTTAAAGAAAACCCTAATTTAGGTTTTAAAAGGATAAAGGAATATTTAGACAGAGAATAGTAACTACAACAGGACAAGAGGAAATGTACTTTGGTTGAAGCAATAGATTGAGGAGAGAGATACTATATAAAGCAGCTAGGATTGGTTAAAGGAATTGGGACTAGGTGGCCTAAAAAAAGAGAACATTGGGAGTGGGGGAGGCCATAGCTGTTTTAAGTGTCTAAAGAATTCTCCTGGGGAAGAAAGATTAGACCTGTTCTGCTTGGGATTTAAGGGATCAGAACTAGATGCAATAAATTGCTGAGAGGCAAACTTAAGCTTGATAGAAGGAAAACCATCCTAACAGTGAGAGCTTCCCCCAAAGTGCAAGGGGATGATGCCTCAGGAGGGAATGGGTCACCCTGTGGTGGAGGCCTTCATGCAGTGGATGGAGAAGGGGCCTCTGAGACCTTTTCCATTTCTGAGACTGAGTGATTCTGTAACCATGAGGGTGGTTACATGTTGAGGGGTCTACAATGAGTGACTGAGAGAGACTCTGGGAATTTTCACCTAGAGATGGAAGGGGGAAGGTAGATGGTTCAATCTCTGGATAGAATTTGGCCACATTCCTACCCAAAGGCAGGACAAGATGGAGCTGACATGTGTCAAAAGGTCCTGATTCTGACACCTGTACTAGGTGTGTGACCTTGGGCAGAATCTTTTCTGATTTTGGAGCCTCTGTCTTTGTCTTTTTAATGGGAATAATCACACTTGCACCATGTAAACTAGGGGTGTCAAAACTCAAATAGAAACAGATCCCTGTGGGCCTTGTACTGACTTAGAAAACCACAAATTAACGTTGCATTGTATTGTGCTTTTATTTATTTTGTTGAACGTTTTCTGACATTTTGATCCGGTCTGGGCCACGGTGGGAATTTTGCAGGAGCATGTGGCCCAGGTAGATCTTGTTATAACAATAGATTGACTGATAGACCCGATTCTCTCTCCCCAGTCTGGCTTCAGCCTCGTCATGAACCATCCGGCCTGCGTCAATGAGATTACCCTGAGTCTGAACAACAAGAGTCCCAGGTGAGGTCCCAGCTTTCCCAGAGCTGGGTGTGTATTTTCCTCGCCGTGTCTCGCCTCTCCTGACCTGGACTGTCTCGACCCCCCTTCACTGACTCCCAGCCTGGTCCACCCCACCCTGCCTCTCTCTGATCCAGCCAGCCAGTCCCACCTTCCCAGCCTCCCTTCCCAGCTCTTCCATCCCTCCTTTTCAGCTTGGCCCACATTTCTCTCCTATCTCATCCTCCCCCAAATCTCTTCCTAGAACCAAGGCTCTTGTGCTGGAGCTGCTGGCTGCAGTGTGTCTGGTGCGGGGGGGACACGAAATCATTTTGGCTGCCTTTGACAACTTCAAAGAGGTATGGTGACACCAGGCCCTTTTATCTGTCTTCCCCGTCCTGCTGCTCTGTGCTGGGGCAGGGAGTCCCAGCCCTAGGCCTCAGAGGCTTGGGATTTCAAGGCTAGGGTAGAGGGTGACAGAGGTGCCTACTTCCTTTGGCTGCCTGGGACCTCAGCAGGCAAGTGTGATCTAGGCAAGGGCCTGAGTCTGGGGTGACTGCTGCCCCTTGGTTGTGCTTTGTGGTGGGCTGATGTCCTGTGGGGTTTGGGGGGTCCTGAGATGGGTGAGGCAGCAGGTGAGAGCCTGGCACTCCTTTGCTTACCTTCCTAACTTTGTAGCCTGGGTCAAGTCCCTGCAAGGACTCAGTTTCCCCATCTATAAAATGGGAATCTTTCAGGTTACCTCATCTTAAAAAAATAATAGTACCTACCTCACAGGGAACCAGGCACTTAAATTTTCTTTCATTTGATATTCATATGATACACTCATATCCCCAGTACCTAGCACAGTGCCTCCTGGCATTTGCTAGTAACTTAATACTATCGATAATAATAATACTAGCATTTATATGGCACTTCAAGGAAAGTTCTATAATGTGCTTTACATATATTATCTCATTTTATCTTCACAGGAACACTGTGAGTTAGGTGCTTTTGTTGTCCCCATTTTACAGATGAGGGAACTGAGGCTGAGAGGTTAAATAACTTGTCTAGGGCTACACAGCTAGGAAGGGTTTGAGGTAGGATTTGAACTCTGGTTTTTCTGACACCCAAGCCCTCACTGTTCCTCTACTACCTGCCTTCCTTGATTGAGACTGGTTGATTATTCCAGAGAGAACAGGCATGGTTGGGGTCTGTTTCTCCTGGGTGCTGGTCTGAGAGCTTCTTCTTGGTATCATCACCACATCTGTCTAGGCCTCGCCACCTCCACACACACCCCCTGTGTCCTGGGAGGGGATCTAGAGGGAGGGAGCTCGCAACCTGATGATGGGGGAAGCAGGCTCCATTATCAAGGGGCTCCACATTTGATGGGGGAGATCCAGTCACTACCCTCAGGCAACCCTCAGTCTAGCGAGGGAGCCAAGACACACCTAAATCCCAGCTCATCCCATAAAATAACAGACATAGAAAAGCTGAACAGTGTGAATTCTGGAGGCAAGTGTGTGGGAAATCCAAGTAGAGTGAATGAATGGAGCAGACGTTTGGGTGGAGGAGGATGACTTAGTTTGTAAAGGCCCGCTTAGCGGAAGAGGATGTTGAATAGGCCTGGGAAAAAGGGGGTGAAGCGAAACTGGGTCATCAGGGTTGCCAAACTCTTCTCCAGAGCACCGGACACCATCCTCTTTGCTCCGTCCTGTGGCCTCATTCTCTCTCCACTGTCTGTGCCCCTAATCTCTTACTCCAAAACCTGTGAGTATTCCCAAGTGGTTCACTGGAGAATTTAAAACTCTGTGGGACTCCAGAACTCATCTCATCCGACCTGATTTTTTTTGGCAGATGAGGAAACTGAGTCCTGTTGAGGTTAAGTGAGTTGCCCAAGATTACACAGCTTGACATTCCTTCTCCAGAACCATTTGCCAAAACCCCACTTGATTGAACTTAATGCCTCTAGCTTGAATCAATCCCTATTCCTCAGTCCCTTGTGGTGGGGTTTGACCTTGTCAGTGCCTAGGGGAGCTAAGCTGTCTCTTTCCCTCCCCTTTCTCTCCACTCTCTCTTTCCCTCTCTCCTTTCCCCTCCTCTCTCTCTCTCTCCCCCTCTTCCTTCTCCCCCACCTCCTCCTCTCTCTGCCTCCCTCTCTCTTTTCTCTCCTCTCTCTCCTTCCTTCTCTTTCTACCCCTTCCCCCTCCCCCCTATTCCTCTTTCCTCCCCTCCTCTCTCCTTCCCCTTGCTTACCCACTACCATCTTTTTTTTTCTTTTTAGAAAAGTCTGCTCCTTTAAAGGAGTCAGCTCCTGGCACTCCGTAGCCTCCTTCCCCCACATTCTGCCTGTGCTCAGCTATTAATACATCCAGGCTAGGTAGTGTCTGAGAAATTGTCAGCCTCAAGAAAAAAAAAAAGTATGGGATGGTAGGTACAGTGACTCATAGCTTGTGGGAGTGGCTGGCATGGGCTTTCCCTGGCAATTGTGTAGGGGAAGTAAAGGAAGAGTACAGTGATAAGTTTGCCCCACTTAGAGACAGTAGGGGAGAGGCCCCTGATCAATCAATCAGGTAATCAAACAATCAATCAATCAATAAGCATTTATGAAGCACTTACTACATACAGCACTGAGCCAACCACTGGGGACCCAGAGATAAAAGTGAACCAGTCCCTGTCCTCAAGGGGCCTCCTATATCCTAATAGGAGAAGATAAGATGTATGCATGAGTATTTATAGATTATGTGTAAGATGCTGTCCTGGGGGTCCACACTCTCCACCCTCCCTCTAGTTTGGTGGGGAGGGCTACCTCCCTCTAAGCTCTCCCCAGACATTCAGAGTTATTTTATTTATTTATTTATTTTTTTGGCTAGGCAGTTAAATGACTTGCCCAGGGTCACACAGCTAGTAAGTGTCCAGTGTCTGAGGCTGGATGTGAACTCAGCTCCTCCTGACTCCAGGGCCGGTGCTGTATCCACTACACAACCCAGCTGCCCCCATTCACTCTTATTTTCCTGAGACATACCTACTCACTGTTCACCCTGATGGAACTGAGTGGACTTCTGGTGGGATTAAGTAGGGATTCTAGTTGATTTCTTTTTAAATTAAATTTTATTCTCTTTTCAAACAAAGGTCCACCTCCCCATCATTGAGAAGGCAAGAAAAACAAAACCTATGTTAAAACATATATAGTCAGGCACAACAAATTCCCTTATTTTTTGTTTAGTCATTTTTCAATCGTGTCTGATTCTTTGTGACCCCTTTTGGGATTTTCTTGGCAAAGATATTGGAGTGGTTTGCCATTTCCTTCTCCAGTTCATTTTACAGATGAGAAAACTGAGGCAAACAGAGTTAAATGACTTGCCCAGGGTCACACAGCTAATAAGTCTCTGAGGCCAAATTTGAACTCGGGAGGAGGAGTCTCTAAATTCTAGGCCATCGTGCCACCTAGCTGCCCCCAAATTTCGTCATTATCTATATCCAAAAAAAAGTCTCAATCTGAGTACATCACTTCTCTATCAGGAGATAATAACCTGGTTTCATCATGAATCCTCTGGAATTGTGGTTGGTCATTGTGTTCATGACTCCCCAAAGTCATTTATCTTTATATCATTGTTGTTATCGTATAAATTGTTCTCCTGGCTCTGCCCACTTCACTTTGCATCTGTTGTATGCATCAGACTTTATATACAGATTTTCTCAGGTTTCTCTGAAACCACCCCCTTCATTATTTTTTTACAGCACAATAGCATTCCATCACATTCATGTACCGTAACTTGTCCAGCCATTCCCCATCTGATGGGCACCCCTTGGTTTCCAGTCCTTTGCTGCTGTAAATGTTTTCATACATGTGGGTCCTTTTCCTCTTTCTTTGATCTCTTTGGGAAATAGACCTAGTAGTGCTATCACTGAGTCAAAGGAGGTATAACTTAATAGCTTTTGGGGCACCGCTCCAAATTGCTTTCCAGAATGGCCGGACCAGTTCACCACTCTATGGACACCATATAATTTCTTTCATCATAGATTTTTATTTGGAAGGGACTTTGGAGATCAGCTGGTCCAGCCATCTCATTGAGAGGTTAAGTGATTTGCCCTAAGGTCACTGAGGTAGTAAATGGGAAGAGACAGAATTTGAGCCCGGGTTTTGACTACAGATTTCACTGCCACTCTTGGTGACCACGCCCCAGGTGATTCCAGGTTGTCTGCCTGCCATGTGAATTTAGCACTTTAACCTAAAAAAGTGAACACAGAGGCAGGCAGGGTCAGCTCAGTTGAACTTGGAGTTTGGTGTGAGGTTTGCAGAGGAGGCCATGGCAACCAGCAGTGCCCATGAAGTATTCAGGCCTTGGAACGGTACCCAAGCTGGCATCCCTGGTCCCTCTGGGAGAACAGGGTGAATTGTCCTGATTGTGGTGGTTCAAGGCATAGCAGAGGACACTGGTTTGTGTCTTGTTTGCATGGCTCTCTCCCAGTTCAGCTTGGGCCTGAGGAGACCCCAGATGGGTTCTGAGCATTATAATGGGATCAGGCTTTCAGAGCCTAGAGCTTCCCAGCAGGCAGGTGGTGAAGGGGATGGAGGGGGACCACCAAGGCGGGAGACTTGACTCTGTTCCTCCTTCCTCTTAGCATGGCCAGGGCAGCAGAGGCCACTTTCCATGGTTTCTATGTGGTATAATGCATGAGATATTATACTTAGCATTTAGGAGACCTGGCTTTGAATCCCACCTTAGACACTTACTAGCTGTTTAACCCTGAGGAAACCATTCAATTTCTTTGTCTCTCAGTTAATGGTGCTTTTTAAGCTTTGCGAAGCATTTTACAAATACTGTCTCATTTGATCCTCACAACCACCCAGGGAGGTAGGTTCTGTTATTATCTCCATTTTACAGTTGAGGACACCAAGCACAACAAAGTTAAGTGACTTTTCCAGGGTCACACAGCTTGTGTCTGAGGTTGGATTTGAATTCAGGAATTCCTGATTCCAATCTAACACTGTGTCACTCAGCTGAGTTTCTTTATCTGTAAAATGAGGGAATCAGACTTGTTGACCTCTGAGGTCCCTTGTAGTTGTAAACCTTTGATGTTTTGGGGAACATAGGTACACTTTGAAATTCAACAGCTTTTAGGGTGGTGATTAGCAGAGAGTGAGAGGGTGTGTGTGTTTCTGGTGGGGAAGGCCTAGTGGTGAACATGGAGTAAGAGGGATGTGAGTTTGTGTTCCCAGTAAGGAAGGCCTGGGTAGAGAATTAGAGGAGGGGTGTGTGTGTGTGTGTGTGTGTGTGTGTGTGTTTTCTTGGTGTAGAAGGCCTTAGCTGGTATAGAAGGTCTTAGCTGAGTCACTGTCATCCTGTAAAAATGGGGCTGCTTGTTAACCTTGTAAGAATATGCCTCCTTCCATTTCCCACCCTAGCCTAGAAGGGAAAACACTTTGAGACCCTTAGTTGATGGAAGAAAAGAAATCAGTAGAGGGGTAGAACAAGTAGTTCTTCTGTCAGGGTCCTACCTCTTAAAGAAGACCCATCATCGTCATGATTCACATTTGTATAGGGCTTCAAGATTTACAAAGTACTCTTTTCCCATCAACCCAGTGATGTAGGTGGTGTGAATATAGTTATCCTCATTTACAGACAAGGAAGCTGAGCTGAGTGTCAGTTGTGGGATTCCATTCAGGTGTATCTGACTTTAAGAACGAAAATCTTTGGGGCAGCTAGGTGGCGCAGTAGATAGAGCTCCGGCCTTGGAGTCAGGAGGACTTGAGTTCAAATCCAGTCTCAGACACTTGTCACTTACTAGCTGTGTGACCCTGGGCAAGTCAGTTAACCCCAATTGCCTCACCAAAAAAAAAAAAAGATCTTCCCATGATGCCCTAGTGACTTGGGAGCATCCAGGGGCACAGGCACCATCTAACACCTTAACTAAGCCCCTCCGTTTTGCCTTTTGTACTGCAAGGTGTGTGGTGAGAAGAACAGGTTTGAGAGACTGATGGAGTATTTCCGGAATGAAGATAGCAACATTGACTTCATGGTGAGTGGGGGCAGTGGTCTGGGGTTAAGCTGGGGCTGTTACCCTAACAGCCTAGCTGTTCTAGGCAACCCTCAAGGGCTCTAAGCTTCAAGCTGGGACCTCGAATACCTCGGTCCTGTGCCTGCATCATTCTGGGGCTGGCTTTGGACCAAGGTATCTCCCTGGGGGAAACTTTATTGGTTCCTGGGGCTTCCTTGGGAGGCCTGAAGCCTCAGGGAGGCTATAAAGGGTCTGCTGTAGGGAAAACTGGAGTTCTTAGGGTATTAAAGAAAGAGGTGCTGAGGACTGTGAGGGGAGTTTGGATGGATCCAGATGGAATAATGGGGAGGGGAAACAGGGCAGGTGAAGCTGAGGAAAACAGGGTTAGGGTTGAGATGGTGGGTTGGCAATTGCAAGCTACCCAGTTTCCACTCTCACTAACTGACCAGCGACTTTCGCTGCCCCCAGGTGGCTTGTATGCAGTTTATCAACATCGTGGTGCATTCCGTGGAGAACATGAATTTTCGAGTCTTCTTGCAGTATGAGTTCACCCACCTGGGCCTGGATGTTTACCTGGAGGTAAGCCCTGGTGTGGGAGTCCCTCCTTCTCCCAGGGACACTCTTAGCAGCATCCGCTGCAAGAGATCTTGTCCAGATATCCTGTTGTGTGAAGGTGTGGCCTTGGGCTGGAGGCACAGACGGTCACACAGGCCAAGCCCTGGCCCTTGCCTTTGGCTCATGGGGTCCTAGAATTCAGAGTGGGAAGAGACCGTCCAGGCCAAGCCTGCCATTTTATAGAGGGTCCAAGGAAGAAGTGACTTGCCTGAGATTACACAGTGAGTTAGCGTCAGAAACTGGACTGCAATTTAAGGATTCCAGGCCCCCAAGCCCCGTGTTCTTTCTCCTGTAGCCTATAGCCTGAGTATGAGATGGTCTCAAACAGACTGCACATGTGAAGGCAGGGCATGCAGACGTGCGATGCTTGCTGACTGTAAATAAGTGCATGAAAGCCTGGGGCATGAAAATTGTGTGTGCCTTTTGAGGAAAGAGCCAGGGTGCCTGGAGGAGACTGTCTATGGAGGACATCATGCCCAAATGGAGTAGAGCATAAAAAAATAAACTATTAGGTCTAATTTTTCTGATCAATTCAAGAAGGCTTCCTGGAGGAGGGGGACTTTTGGGGTAGTTTTTTTTTTAATGGGAGAGGGATTAGTAGGGCTTGCTCCTTTCCTCGCTTTGGGGGAACACTAGGGGAGGGGGCCTCTCCTGGCCCTCACCCCTTTCCTCTTACCCTTTCACCGGTGGCAGAGGCTGCGGCTTACAGAGAGTGACAAGCTCCAGGTTCAGATCCAGGCATATCTGGATAATGTGTTTGATGTGGGTGCGCTCCTGGAGGACACAGAGACGAAGAATGCAGTTTTGGAGCATATGGAGGAGCTACAGGAGCAGGTGACCTTGGTAAGAGAGTGGGATCAGGAGGAGACCCCCTTTCTATGCAGCCCCCTCCAAAGCAGGTCTGATTCTGGGAACAGAAGGGACTAGCCCCAGGAAGGACCCAGGACATCTAGTGGTGACCCTGGGAGCCCAAGAGTCAGAAATCCTGCTCTGGTACCTCACCCCTGCTTCCTTCATCAAGGATTCTCCCCTGACCAATGGGAGAAAACGCTGAGTGTTTTGAGATCTCTTATTAACTTCCTCTAAAAGGAGGAAGATTGGGGGAGTGGATGAGTCAATTTGTATTTTCTCCATTGGGGTCCTCCTGTTTCCCAGAGCTTCTCTCTCCCACTGTGATCCTGCCCTCCCTACCACCGTCCTAGGCAGACTGGTGCTCCCATAGGCTGAGACCGCCTAGGGGCCTGGTGTTTTTTATTTTGCTCAAGGACTACGCATGGTACCCACTACTGGTGCCAGGCAGAAAAGGAGTATGCCCCAAAGAATAAAATGGTACAGCTGGGGGGACAAAAGTTATTCTTCACAGCTAAAGGCTGAATGGGTGGGAAGAGAATACATTCTAGGGTCTCTGAACTGAGTAATTCTAGCTCTTGGTCCAGGAAAAGGGAGGGGCCTGGGGAATGTGGAGCCCCCAGTGGGGTCTGTGCCAGGGTCAGTGACGGGGAGCTCACCTTACTGCCCGCTGGTTTCCTCGTCCCCATTCTCTGTACCTGTCCCAGCTCCACACATTGGGGAGTAAAAAGGAAGGGCCCAGAAGCAAGAGGGATTCTTGTCCCTTTTCCCGCCCCCTCCTGGGTATCAGCCCTGCCTGGTACCCACCCCCTCGCCCGATGTCAGCAGCCAAGGGTGGGTGTGCTCACCATGTGCTGTTGCCATAGCTGACAGAGCGGCTCCGGGAGGCAGAGAACGAGTCCATGGCCAAGATAGCTGAGCTGGAGAAGCAGCTGAGCTATACCCGAAAGGATTTGGACATACTCCGGGTAATGCTGGGCTGGAGGGAGTGGGGTATGGAGGCCAGAAAGGGGGTGTTCTGGGTAGGAGCAGGGGACCATTGGTAGGAGAGGAGGTGGAAGATGATGGAACTGGTCGGGGATGACATGGGGAGAAGGATGAGGCCAAGTGGCACCGGGCAGACAAGCTTATTCAGGTGTTCGAGGTTTGGCACTCCATGCACCAAAGGACTCAGTGGGAATCTCTGTCAGTGGGCTTTGGCTTAATGTCCTTAGTGGGGTTGTTGATTCTCTCCTTCCTTGGGGATGTGGTATCCAGGAGCGCCACAGTGAGTGTGCCACCATGGGTACCTCCCAGCTCCCCCCTGACCCAAAGAAGGTGCCTGTACTCACCCAACCCTCTGCCTTGGAGCTTAAGTTGGAGGAGCTGGAGAGGAAAGGGTTAATCCGAATCCTGAGAGGACCTGGGGAAGACATCACCATTGAGATCATCCCGGTTGTTGTGGCAACTCCATCTGACACGATGACGCCAAAAACAATGACGCTTGTGGCACCCGACTCCTCCAGCACAGGTGTTTGCCGGCTGGGGTTTGGGAATAGGGGCTGACAGAGATGGTGCTCTGTGGTCAGAACATGGGGAGAACTTCACCCTCCTAAAGGCAGGGGATAGGATGGGTTCACAGGAAGAGATGCTCTGGGCGTGGCTGAGGGAAGCAGCCTAGCATGGTGGAAAGAACACTGGATTTGGTGTCAGTGGACCTGGGTTTGAGTCCAGGCTCTGTCACCGGCTCCCTGTGTGAACTAGGGCTAGTTACTTCACCTCTGTGGGCCCCGATTTCCTCATCCACAAAATAGGGAGGTTGGACTTGATGATTTGTTTTCAATACTACATCTATAATCCTGTGAATAGAGATTTGGATTTAGGGGTGCTCCTGAGCCTCCTAGTGAGCCTGGAGGAGAGATTTTCACTGAAGCTTCCTCTAAGGCCCTGTTCTGAGGCTAGAGTTTGGGCCACGGTGGCCGCTGTGATAGGTGGGGGTGTAGTAGACAGGTGGGTAAGGCTAGGCCCAGAAAAGAGGGTAGGGCCAATAGAGAAGGTGGCTGCCGTGGGGTTAGGAGCGTGGGCTCTGGTGGGAAGGGGAGGGGTAGATCTTAAACTAGTAGGTCCCCTGTGAGCCCTCCATGCTAGGAAACCTGGGTTTCCTAGGAAGCTTGAGAAACTTCTGTTACCTTCCGCTGCTGCCAGGAACTGCAATCTGCCAGCAAAGAGGAAGATGACTGTCCAATTGCTTTCTGCTGCTTTTTCCAGATCTCCCACCTCCAGCAACTCCCCCCACTGCATCTGTGTGTCCTCTGCCGCCACCGCCACCGCCACCACCACCACCACCAGCTGCCCCAATCTCTGATCTCGCCTCACCTACCCATCAAGAAACCCCACCTTCAGTACCCCCTCCACCTCCACCCCTTCCTGGTAACCTGGAACTACCCCCTGCCCCACCATTGCCTGGAACTGGGGCATCCCCAGCACCACCACCTCCACCACCCCCACCACCAGGGATGAATGGAACAGTGCCTCCTCCTCCTCCTCCTGGAGGACTTCCTGGTGCCTTTGGGGGGCCCACTTCAGAAACTAGTACAGGTAAGTACAGCCAGGACTAGAGGTTTCTGTGCGGAGTGAACATGGGCAGTGACCCTAATATCCCTTGATATTCTCCTGGCCTCCTCTAGCTCAGGGAAGAGATGAAGTATATGTGTGTGTAGGAGGTCTGTTCATGAGATCCTAATAGGAAACCTGCATTTTGCTGGCCTAAGACTACATTCCTCCCACCCCACTTACCTTAATACCCACCATCCCATCTTTCTACCCACTTTTTCTTCCCTTTTGGCCCAGTCTACAACTTCAATTCATACCTCAGTCACACTTAGGCCTCTTCTTGTTCCCGTCTTTTCCCCTGAAGCAACAGACCATTTATTATTCCCTTCCCTACTTCACACTTCCCCCAATCCTATGTATCCTACATCCTAGTCTATCTCATCTTATAGGCCCATCTCTTCCACCAACCCTAGCTTTGTAGTCTAGTTATGACCCCCTACCCCCACCCCTGGACTCAACCCTATTTCTCATCTATACAGTGAAGACCAAGAAACCAATTCAGACCAAGTTCCGGATGCCAGTTTTCAACTGGGTGGCCCTAAAGCCCAACCAGATCACGGGCACTGTCTTTACTGAGATCAATGATGAGAAAGTACTACAGGTATGGTCTTCTCCATCTTCAGCCCATGGAACTTGAGTCTCCTGAGCTTAATACGGGTTCTGTGAACCTACTCGGTTTTCAGGTGGGGGCAGTGTCACATTTGGGACTCTTTTTTTGTTGATTCCATCTTGTCCTTTCGGATCACTGTTCCATGCATCCTTGACAGTGGGAGACACCTGGGACCTAATGAGTTTGGGGTGAAGCTAACCCAGGATGGGGCAGAATTGTCTGAGGTCTACAGAGGGACATGGCAGCATGGAAGTGTCTGGAGTGGGAAAAGAAAGAGGAAGGCTGTGATGTCATACACCCTTAGTGATGATGTCCCAGGTCTCTCTCTGGCCCTGAACCTACTAATCCCTTCTCTTCTGTGCTAGGAACTGGATATGAGTGACTTTGAGGAACAGTTCAAGACCAAGTCTCAGGGTCCTTCCTTGGACTTGAATGCCCTAAAAGTCAAGACTACCCAAAAGGCCCCAAGCAAGGTGACGCTCATTGAGGCCAACCGGGCAAAGAATCTGGCCATCACCTTACGCAAAGGCAACCTGAGCACCGATCGTATCTGCCAGGCCATCGAGACGTGAGTGCTTTCATCTCTGGTCCTGTCTTTCTTTGCCGTCTTCCTTCCTTACACCTCTCATGGCGAACTTCTTCCCTTTTTACCCACGAGTAAGAGAGACCTCTCAGAACTCTCCTTCCTTTTTTCATAACCGTGAGTAAGAAAGGTTACCAGCAGAGAAGTGGACAGAGGAATGGGTCATGTGTCTGGACTACTCTTGATTCTTGTGTGGCTCTAAAGTTCTCAGCTAGCCCCGTGCTACAGACCTAGGATGTCCCATCCCTAGGGCAGGTAGGTGGCACAGTGCATCGAGTGCTGGACCTAGAGTCAGGAAGGCCTGAATTCAAATCCCACCTTAGACACTTACTAACTCTGTGAACCTGAGCAAGTTACTTGGTTTCTCTCAAGCCCCAGTTTCCTCATCTGTAAAATAGAGATAATAATAGCATCTACCCACCAGGGCTATTGTAGGATGAAGTGAAATAACTTATAAACAACTCCTTGCATATCTTAAAGTACTTTGTACATGCTCGCCATTAGTATTTTTTGCACGGTCAAAACAAATTCCCATTTTGACTATGTCCTGAAAATATGTCTCATTTTGCCTATTAATCCATCACTTCAATTATTAATATTGCTATTATAAGTATTATGGGACTCTCTGCACATGCACACATAAATCGTTGCATGGACCCAGTGTTGTGTATACAGATGGGGATCTATCTCCCTTGCTACCCAGTCTTTCTACCTGCTATGTTCTTTACTGTCCCAGGTCTGGAGTTGGGGAGGACCTTTGAGAGCCTAGATTTAGAGCTGGAAGGGACATTCAAGGTCATCTAGTCCGAAGCCCTCTTTTTTGCATAGAAGGAAACTGAGACCTAGATAACTGAAGTGACTTACCTGTGGTTACACAAGTGACTCTGATGGCATTGCTGGGATTTGAACCCAGGTCTTTGGATCCTAAATCCCCCACTATGCCACATGTAGAGGGACATGGCACCACCCTCACTGAATGTACCTGGGATTGGAATAGAAAGAGGAAGGCTATGATAATTATAGTCCATCTTCATTTTACTGAGAGGGAAACTTAGGCTTAAGGGATGGGACTTGCTTGTTATCACATATTTATCATTTATTATTATTATTTTCAGTGCCAGGATTCTAAGTCAGATCCTTTGGGCCTGGGCTTCTCTAACCACCTTCCCTGGCTTTATCTTCCTCATCCCCTGGAATTGTCAACAAACCTTTTTGTTTCTTGACAATCTATTTTCCATCCAGCTCTATACTTGGAGCTGTGGGGTGATTTAGAGAAATGTTAGATCTAGCCCCCTGACTGCAAGCACAGTTGGGGAGACAAAATGAAATGCCTTGAAACAAAACGATGCCTAGATGTTGGGGCTTAGACTTGAATTGCTCCTGGATCTCATGGTGGGCTGGGGCAGGGTTTGAATAGGCCTTGAAGCATGAGTGGAATTGATGGAAAATAGAGAAGAGAGCTCTTGGGGGTAGGAGGGAGAGTGGTACAAGAGCACATAGCATATGATAGGCAAAAAGAAGAGCCTGTATGGGGGGAAAGAGAGAGACCTGACTGGGATTCATTTAGCAATCATCTCTTCATTCAGAGGAAAGAGAAGGAAGCCCAGGACCCAGAGTTTGGAGGTCCATGACTTGAATCAGTGAATGAAAAAGCATTTATTAAGCACTTACTCTGTATCAAGCAAGTTCTGGGGATGCAGAAAAATAACAGTCCTAACTTTCAAGGAGCTCACACTCTAATTGAGGAAGACAGTGAGTGGAGGGAGGAGGAGAAGGGAGAAAGTATTTATTAAGCACCTACTATGTTCAAAGAACTATGCTAAACACTTTACAAATATGATCTCATTTAATCCTCATAACAGTCCTGAGAAGTAGGTGCTATTATGATCCCCATTTTACAGTTGAGAAAACTGAGGCAGAGGTTGAGTGACTTACCCAAGGTTATACAACTAGTGTCTATGACCTATGCTAGATTGTCTGAGGCAGGATTTGAACTCAGATCTTCCTGATTCTAGGCCCAGTACTTTATCCACTATGACAGCTAGCTGTATCTAAGAGAAAGCCCAGGTGTTCTAAGGGTACTATGGCAAGACCCAGTTGTGCTTTGGGTGTACTAGCAGGATAAATGGCAGGGCTTGGTGGTTTGGAGGGTGAAGCAGTCAGGTAGAGGCCCAGAGGACCTTTGGAAGGGCAGATGGTCAGTCCATAAACATTTATTAAGCACCTACTATGTGCCAGGCAATGTGCGCTAAGGATACAGAAAGAAGCAAAGGATATCCCTGTCCTCAAGGAGCCCCCAGTCTAACGGGGGAGACCACAAGGAAACAGATATATACACACGTGTTTGGTTTGGTGATCCTCCACCTTAGGTCAAGAGCAGAGTCTGGATTCAAACTCCAGATGGTGTGACTGTGTGTGTAGAACTCACGCCCTTCCCACCCGCCCAGGTATGACTTGCAGGCCCTCAGCCTGGACTTCTTGGAGCTCCTGACTCGATTCCTCCCCACCGAGTATGAGCTGAGCCTCATTGGACGCTATGAGAAGGAGCAGCGGCCAGTGGAGGAGCTGTCCGACGAGGACCGGTTCATGCTGCGTTTCAGCCGCATCCCCCGCCTGTCTGAGAGAATGGCCACTCTGGCTTTCCTGGGCAACTTCCCAGACACCGCTCAGCTGCTCATGCCGGTATAGATGGTGGGGGCGGCTGGGATGGATGGGAAGGGCTTCGTGCTTGGGTCCACTGGGTCAGCGTCCAGTATTTGGGGACACCGGCAGGGGGCGGGTTGGGGGATGGGGGCCTTGTTTGATGAGGACCCAGGTCTGTCTTAGAAGATGAATTCAGAGCCCCCTCCTCTGAGACATGGGAGAGAATCCCTAGGATCATTTTGGGGCATTTGGGAGAAAGAAGTAGGAGCCCTCAGTCGAACCCCAATAATAAATATTCTCATTCACATAGTGTTTTTAAGTTTACAAAGCATTTCAAAACGGAGGTCACCAGGCCAGCAGTTATTTGCTGCTGCCTGACCTTAGGGTCAGGAGGCTGCATTCCATTCTCCTCCCCGTTCCTTTACCTCTTCACCCTTGGATTCCCTTCCTACAGCAACTGAATGCTATTATCGCCGCTTCCATATCCCTCAAGTCTTCTGACAAGCTCCGAAATATCTTAGAGGTAAGGGGATGGAGGAAGAGAAGTCATGGAGTCTATGCTTGTCAAACAGATGGCGTTTCCTGGGTGCTAGGCCATGGTCCCAAGCCTATTTTTAGGAAGTTTCCAGTCTGATGGGGTGTGGTGGTGGTGGTGATAGAATCCCTATCTTCAGGGACCTCCTAATCAGATGAGAATGGCATCATAGGATTTGGAGCTGGGAAATATATGTATACATATATATATATATATATATATTTTTTTTTGAAGCAGTCGGGGTTAAGTGACTTGCCCAGAGTCATACAGTAAATGTCTGAGGCCACATGAGGCCACATTTGGACTCAGTCTTCCTGACTCTAGGGCCGGTGCTCTATCCACTGCACCGCCTTGCTGCCCCTGAAAGAAATTTCAAAGAGCATATGGTCCAAGGATTTTTTTTTTTTTGGGTGAGGTAATTGGGGTTAAGTGACTTGCCTAGGGTCACACAGATAGTAAATGTCTAGTGTCTGAGGCTGGATTTGAACTCAGGTCTTCCTAACTCCAAGGCCAGAGCTCTATCCACTGTGCCGCCTAGCTGCCCCTGGTCCAAGGATTCTTTTGTTTTGTTTTTTTTTTTTTTTGCTAAGCAATGGGGTTAAGTGACTTGCCCAGGGTCACACAGCTAGTAAGTGTCAAGTGTCTGAGGTCGGATTTGAACTCAGGTCCCCCTGACTCCAAGTTCGGTGCTCTATCCGCTGCACCACCTAGCTGCTCCTCGTCCAAGGATTCTTAACCTGGAGTCCGTGACTTGCTTTTTAAAGATATCTTGTTAAATGATTTTCAATATAACTGATTTCTTTGGCTATCTTATTTGATACATTTGAAAACATTATTCTGAGAAGGGGTCCATAAGCTTCCCAGTCTACCACGTGTTATGTCATTGTGTCTGTCATTGTACTATGACACCAAGAAAGGCTAAGAACGTCTGCTGTCATCCAAAACACTCATTTTATCAATGGACCCCAAAGACTCAAAGTGATTGGCCAAGGCCTACCTTCACATACACAGGTGTTATGTGCTAGAGCTTGAATTTGAACACAGGTCCTCTGATTTAAAAGCCAAGGCTCTTTCCATGCCATAGATGCCTCTAGGGACAAAGGAGCTACTTTCTGGGAGTGCCAAGTTTGAGGGAGGGAGGATGTGGTCCCTTGTCCCTAAGGACCAGGGAAGACTCATTCAGAACATAGAAAAATCTGTTCCCTCCCTCCTAAGGGAAAAAAAAATCCTTTGGGCCAAGGGCCTGCTGAGCTCTCCCTCACTCTCTCTCTTTCTTCCTCCTCTCTTCTCTCCAGATCGTCCTGGCCTTTGGGAATTACATGAACAGCAGTAAACGCGGGGCAGCCTATGGTTTCAGGCTACAAAGCCTTGATGCTGTAAGGGACTTCATCTAGCCCCTGGGATGGGAGAGGGAAGTCTGAGGGGATTGGGGAGGGGTGTTGTACTGGCACATCTGGGTGTCCCCATCTGTTGTGTATGGGGCTAGAGTCTTGGGATTGGTTCCCTCTGATAAACTTCCCCTCCCCATAGCTGCTGGAGATGAAGTCGACGGACCGGAAGCAGACACTGCTGCACTACCTGGTGAAGGTGATTGGAGAGAAGTATCCAAAACTCACCTGTTTCCACGCTGACCTGCACTTTCTGGACAAGGCTGGGGCTGGTATGGGCTGGAGGGTGGGAGTGGGAAGGGTCAAGGGGCTCTCTGTTGCTAATTGGCCTCTTGGGCCTGAGGGTTTACCCAGAGGGAAGGGGGAAACCAAGCAGCTTGGACACTTAGTTCCCCTGAGACTGACCAGGAGCGATGACAGAATGAGGAGAGGAGAATAAGAAATAAGGGCACCTGAGTTCAAATCCGGCCTCAGACACTTACTAGCTGTGTGACCCTGGGAAGTCACTTTATCCTGACTGCCTCCAAAAAACAAAAAAGAAAAAAAGAAAAAGAAAGAAAGAGAGAAATGAGGGCAAGAGAGATTCTGTCTCTCCCTGACGTGCTGCTCACCTTCCCTCCCTCCAGTGTCCCTAGACAGTGTCCTCCAGGACACCCGAGCTCTCCAGCGGGGCATGGAGCTGACAAGGCGGGAGTTCATGCGCCAAGATGATAATGCTGTGTTGAAGGAGTTCCTGAAGGTCAACAGTCCCAGTATGGAGAAGCTGTTGGCCGATGGCAAGACAGCCCAGGTGGGATGGCAGTGCAGGGCTCTGTGCCAGAGGGCAGGATCTTAGGGAGTGGTGGGTGCCCAGGGCAGGCATGCAAGACCATCACCAGGACAGGGACGAGGACACACACACACACACACACACACACACACACACACACACCCCTCTCAAAGGACTGTGGCAGAAAGGCATCCTAGAGGGGTGAGCCTTTCATCCCGTTATCTCTTATGAGCCAGGCGCCAAAGACATAAACACCAAAACAAAACCCAGCCAGTTCTCATGGATCTTACTTTCTACTCAGGAATATCAGAGATGGCTTAGAGGGGTAGGGCCCAGGCACAGTTGGGCTGGGGGGGCAGGGCTGGCACAAGAAGGTGACAGTGTCAAAACCATGGTGGGGGGCGGTGGGAGTGGATGGCTGTTGAGGTCAGGAAAAGACGCTTGAGGACTTCCTTCTGAGGGCTGGAGGCCGGACGGGAACGGGACGGGGTTCAGCTGGGGAGCTGATGAGCCGGACTGATGGGAGGCATTTACCTACAGGAGGCGTATGAGTCTGTGGTGGAGTACTTTGGGGAGAATCCCAAGACCACCCCTCCATCTGTGTTCTTCCCTGTCTTCAGTCGCTTTGTCAAAGCCTATAAGGTATTGGAGAGGGGCTTGGGAAGGAGAGGGGCTGTGTAATTCCCAAGGGGTCCTGGAGTTATTGGAATGTCTGGGCCGGGCATCACGGCCTTTCTGTGAGGAGCTATTGCAGAGTGTCTGACTTGGGAGTCGGGAAGTAAACCCTCCTCACACATTTACCAGTTGACTGGGCAAACCTCAAGGCTCATCCTTGGTTCCCTCATCTGTAAAATGGGCATCATAACAGCACCTACACCACATAGGATAGCTGAGAAGATAACATATATAAAGCCTGAAAGCACTATATAAATGTGAGCTGTTTGTTAGTAGACTTGTAACTGTGGCTTCTAGCTAGGGTCAGGACAAAGCGTCAGTGGGTTTTCATTTGTTTTTGTAGGCAATCGGGGTTAAGTGACTTGTCCAGGGTCACAAAGCTAGTAGATGTCTGAGGCCGGATTTAACTCAGGTCCTCCTGAATCCAGGGCCAGTACTCTGTGCTCTATGGTGCCCCCACCCGCCCCCAACACCTTCCCACCCTGGTGTGTCTTAAGTGAGGTTTGAAAATTGTACCCATTATCTGTCACTGTTTACTAGAGGTTCTGAACCTTATAAAACTAGCTAATAGCTAGTATTTATAGAGCATCGTACTGTTTGCAAAGTGCTTTACATATATATATATATAAAAATGTATAAAACAAATATATAATCTAAAATACATGTGTATAAATATATAATTTAATCTTCTTGATAACCCTGTGAGGAAGGTGCTATTATTATCTCCATTTTACAGATGAGAAGACTGAGACTGAGAGGGTTTAAGTGATATGCCCAGGGTTACACAGGTAGTGTCTGAGGCAGAGTTTGGAGCTCTAGCAACACAGCTGCCTATCTGTACCATATGTCACCTGAGCCATCATAAAATAAATTTGCACAACACCATAATTTTTCTCCATTTGTTCTGCATTTTGATTCTGAAAAGAAAGCTGGCTTTGCCTATTTTTTTTCACTGCCAATTTCTGATTAAACGAAATTTGTTTTGAATAAAAAAAGATATGCACAGCTGTGTTGTATTTTCTGGCATTAAAAATAAAGCCATTTTTTAAAAAATCCAAGCCCCTGGTTGTGCTCTGCCTACCCCTAGTCCTGCCTCTGGCTTCTGCCCCTGCGGTGCCAGGCTCATTAGGGGTTAGGGGAGGGATGCTGGGCCTGTATTCCGGGAGGGAGCTAGGGTGTGACCCTACTTCTGGCTGAAGTTCCTGGAGGGGCAGATGGCTGGGAGGAGTGGATGCAGGGATCCTGCCTGGAGGGGGCGCTGTGTGTGTGTCAGAATGGTCATGTTGCTGACCATGGCTACCTCCTGCCAGAAAGCAGAGCAAGAGGTGGAACAGTGGAAGAAACAGGAGGCTGCAGCCCAGGAGGCCGGGGCTCCCGGGGCTCCCATCGCAGGTGAAGGGGAGCCTGCAGCGCCCAAGGTAAGGCATGATTCTCATGCTGCTTGGGTGTTGAGACACTGGATTTCTTTTCTTTCCTCCCTGCCTGCCCCCCATAACCACAGCTGGTCTCTGTGGGGACATCATTTTACTGCTTGTCTGTTGTGGGAGGTAGCAGTCCTTATGTAGCCTAAGGAGACCAAAGTCTACACCTGCAAAGAGTTTTGCCATTCCCCAGGAAGGTCTTCAAGCATGCTCTGGGGATGAGGCTGTCTGGTGTCTCTTCTCCGAGCCTCCCTTCCACCCATCCCACTCCTCACTCTATCCCCCTGGGCATTCCAGTGGTCACCACCTTCCCAGCTCTGTCCCTGAGAAATGGGGTGCCTGGGGTGGCTGGGGATTGGAAGGAGAGGAGGAGGCCCAGATGGTCCAAGCATGTCTGTCCCTCACCTCTGATCCAGTCCCCTACCAAGGCCCGGCGCCAGCAAATGGACCTCATTTCGGAGCTGAAGAGGAAGCAGCAGAAAGAGCCCCTCATTTATGAGAGTGACCGTGATGGGGCCATAGAGGACATTATCACCGGTGAGAGGGTGGGGCGGTCTCTGGGGAGGGAGGGAGGGAGGGAAGAGCAGCCAGGGCTGGACTCTGTCTCTTTCCTGTCTTTTTCTGGTGCCAGGGCAGCCGTCTTCTCCCACAAATTCAGGAGAGGACAGGGTCAGCTCCTGCATGCTCTCCCCTGTACCCCTCATCCTGCCATGTCTGGTTGTACTTTACACTGTTCTGGCTTCCTTTTCTTCTTCTTCCTCCTCTTCTCCCTCCTCCTGGTCCCCACCCTTCCCCCTCACCTCAGTGTTGAAGACAGCGCCCTTCACTGCCCGCACGGGCAAGCGGACATCCCGACTGTTTCTAGAGGCTGGCCTCAGTGACGAGAGCCCCCTCTAGAATCCTACCCCCACCCTAACCCAAGGTACCTGATGGTTGGGGGGGCCGGGGCAAGCTGACCCCATCCCTAAACAATGTGGCTTCTGCCATGGCCCAGCTGTCCCCTTTGTTTCAGGGAGGAGGGTAGCAGATGTTACAGCTCAGGTCTCAGACTAGGTAAAGAGGACCCCTAGTCCTTCACACCACGGGTGTGCTTGGGGTTGGGATGAATTAGGTCTTGCAGAATTCTGATCTTGTGTCTGAACCTGAGCTCCACCTCCTTGGCTAAGCTAAGGAGCTAAGCAGCGAGATGTCTGGACTGTGGGCTAAGTTTGCAAAGCTTTCCAGCAATGAGGGAGAATGGGAATGAGGGCTCCCTGGGGAACATGTTAGAATTGCCAAGGGTGACATAGATGACTTTGGTCTTGCTGGTAGTGAAGGAGCCACAAGCCTGGGTGGGATGGAGTAGGGAAGAGAGAGAGAAAACTAGCCTACAGCCAAAATCCAGAGCTAAAGGTGTCTGTGTACCTCTCCCAACAGATCTTCGGAGTCAGCCATACCGAAGGTCAGATATAGGCCGTCGGAGTGCCCGCCGAAAGTCCCCTGGCACCTCCCTGCAGATGACCCCAGACCTCGCACTGTAGCCCCTGGGCTGCTCGGACCCCCCCTTCCTCTTCTCCAGTGTCAATGGACTCTTGGAAATGGGGCCACCCTAGGTCAGAGTCACCTGTGCGAGCAGGGACGTGCCAGCTCGTTCATGGGGCCAACAGAGAGCCTCTTTTCCATTGCTTAGGAGAGCAAATGACAATCATGAGGAAAGGGCAGGAAATCATGCTCATTTTCCTGCTTGCCAGGATCCCCCCAGGTTGCCTCCTGGGGACAACCTTCTATAGATGCACTTCTTCTTCTTACCACAGAGGGGCAGTAGTCCAGATCTTAGCATCTCAATGAGGAAATGTCCCACCACCTTCCCCCCAAATGTCAGGTGCTGCCCCCCTTTTACCTTTCATCTTGTAAGCCATGCTCCGCTCCCAGAAGTGTGAGGCTGGCATCTATAACTTATGAAATACCTCCCCACTTTTTGACCTTGGCCTGGGGTAGGGAGGGTGGGGTAGGAAATGAGGATGGGGGGGAGAGGGAGAAACCCCAGGGACCTTATTTTTATACTTGGAACTGAATAAATGAATTTGGAAGATACTGTGTTTTTTGTGCCAGCCTCCATCTCCCCCCTCCTCCCCACTCTGGTGAGGATGCAATTCAGGCCACTAATTTCTCTAAGGAAATGTTTTATTGGTAAACATTTGGTAAAGAATGACTCTGTGGGGTAGGAGGGGGTGGGGAAGGGAGTTGGCTCTGGACCAGGGTGGGTGGGGAGGGAGCTGGTCTCAGCTCTGCAGTCCCCTCTTCTGACTGTGGTCGTTGACCTATGGGCTCTGCAAAGAAAGGAGCAGGATTGGTATCAGGGAGGTGGGATGGACGTTGGGCACAGGCTGGCCAGCCCCCTCCCCTCTCCATTAACTTTTATCCGGGGCCTGCGGCCGAGGTGCCTCTCGCTGAGGCGGCTTGGGTTTGTCGCAGGGCCTGGCCAGGTTGGAGAGTCGGGGACCTCTGCTGCGAATCCTCCTTTCGGTCGACCGTGTCCGAGAGGGCAGGTTGGGGACCTGAGAATAGGGACCTGGGACATCTGGGCGGCAGGGAGAAGACTTGTTTCAGTGCTTCTCTCCCTGGAAAGCGGGCTTCCCCTTCACCTGAACCCCCCTTCAGCCATTCTCCTCCCATGCTGACTGCTCCCCTCTTCACTATGGAAGATCCATACTCAAGTCCTGGAGGTTATGCAGGGATCGGGCAAGCTGCCGGTTGTTCAGGCCGGCCAGGCGCGTGGCCTGGCAGAAGAAGCTGAGGCCCGTGTGTGATCGGGATTGGTAGCTTCGGTTGTGTTTGTGATTCAGGCCCTTCCACCAAGCGCTCATTCTCAACACTCTCTGCTTGTCTGTATAGTAACTGGGGGAGGCGGGATATGGGGTGGGGAGGGCAAGCAGGAGCAGGCCACTAGGCAGTGGTCCCCACCCCAGACCAGGCTCTAGATTCCTCAGGGGATCTGGGGTAGGGGACAAAAAAATGGCACCACCACCATCCATGGTTGTTGGCACTATGCCCTGGGCGCCCTCCCTCCCCCTACTGGGGGTCTTGAATAGTCAGAGTGGGGTAGGAATCTTTAACAACTTTGGAGGATATGGGGAGAGGTGCATCGGAGAGAAAAAGGGACTTGTGATTGGGGAGGGGGGAGGTGCCTGGGTCCTGCACACCTCACCACCTCCGCCACTGACTTGGGGGACAGTGCCCCCTGACCCACAAACTTAGACATCATCTCGAAGAAAAGCGTTTCCAGACCATGGGGATCATTGATACGACTGTTTCTCATCCGACCTTTAGGTGTATTAAATCAATTAACATGCATTTATTAAGTGCCTGTTACATGCCAGACACTGCTAAGATACAAAGATAAGAATGAAATGATCCCTGGGCTGAAAGGCCTTATAGCCTGTTCAGGAGACATATACATGTGAGCATGTACAAAATAGAGGATGTCCCAAAAGTCTTAGTGCAGTTGTGTAACAAAGTAATTTTGGAGTGGGAAGGTACTACCAGGTTGGGTTGGGATGGGCATCAGGAAGGAGTTGAGTTATGATGGAAATAAGTTTATTCTAAGAGATGGAGGTAAAGGAGTGTATTTTAAGCATGGAGGAGTTGTGGGGGTAGGAGAGAGAGCATGTGAAAAGGTAAGAGATAGAATATTATATGAACAGCAGCAAGAAAGCTTCTTCAGCTGAACCCCAGTCTGAAAGGTTGAAAGGCTGTAACAGGTGTTTTCTACTTGAATCCAGAGGTAACAGGAAACTCATAGCTCTTTCAGCAGGGAAGTGACATGATCAAATGGGTGTCTTAGGAGCATCACTTGGGCAGTTTTATGGAGGATGGATCGGCAAGGGGAGAGACTTGAGGCAGGGAAATTACATTCGAATCTTTTAGGCAAGAGTTGATAAAGGCATGAACTACACAGTGATGACCAGGTGAGTGGTGAGAGAAAGGGGATGGATTTGAGAGATGCTCTGCTGATGGTTGTGCCAACCGGGTAGATATGTGGGGGGAGGGAGAAGGAGGAGTCTAGGATGACTATGAAGTGTCTAAACATGGGGGGTGGTGCTCTCAACAAAAGTAGGGGTGTGGGGAAGGGATGGGGAGTTTTGGACATGTTGAGTTTGAGATGCCTGTGGGACCCATAGGCAGTTGGAAATATGGGACTGGAGCTCCAGAGAATGACTAGGGGTGGATATATAGATTTGGAAGTAATAATTAAACCCAATGGGAGAGGAAATAGAGCTAGAGACAGGAACAGAGACAGAGAGAGGAGGGAAAGGCATAGGGAGAGAAGCAAGCAGAAGAGAGAGGATGGTCCAGGACAGAGCCCCAAAGAACACTCTGGATTCGTGGGGAGGATACAGAAGATCCAGTGAAGGAGACTGAGGAGTTGTCACAGGTGGGAAGAGAACCAAAGAGACTGGTCACAAAAAATCCAAAGGAGAAAGGGGATTCAGGCAGAGAGGATGGTCAACAGGGTCAAAATTCGGAAGAAACTGAAGACTCAGAAAAATCCATCAGATTTGGCAATTAAGGGGATCACTAGAGTCCTCTTGGAGAGACAGCTGCTTTGGCTGAGTGAGCTCAGAGGCCAGGTGACTACAAGTGAGGAGAGAAAGTGGAGGTATGGAGTTGTAGGCAGCTCTTTCTAGGAGTCGAGCTGTGACAGACAGAAATACAGGACAATATTTTTAGGGACTAGTGAGGTTTGCTTTTTTTAAGTATTTGGGAGTGTGGCAAGTTTTAGTTTTTCCTTTCCTGGACCCCACGACCCATAAAAAAAATGCTTCCTCACCCATGCATTGGGCAAAGCGATGATTGTCTGTCAGGATCCCAAGGAAGTCCTCAAAGTCAACAGCTCCATCACCTTAGAAGAAGAGAAATCATGTACCTGTGTTTGCTCAGGAGTGTGTGTATGTTTGGAGCAGGGAAAGAGTTGGTACACCCAGGGTATGGGTTTGTACTAGGCTCTGAGAGAATCACACTAAAACAGAAATGCCGTATTGCCCCTGGGGAGGGGAAGGGAAAGGGAGGGGGATCATCCATCCTCGGAAGGGAGGCTCAGGGTCCCCACCCAGGGACCAAACAACAGCCTCCAGGCATAAAGCAACAGTAAAATGTAACATTTCCTATGCCATAGTTCATTGAGTGAAATCAATCAATAAGCGTGTAAGCACCTATTACTACACCCTTCTGTGGCCTACAAGTTTGTGGGGGTAATAGAAGAAAGATAAGATGACAGTGGGGGAGGACAGGGATACTTAGGAAAAGTTTTCCGCAGGAACACCTGAAAGCAGGGAAGGATTAATTTAGTGGGCGAGGGGAAGGGAAGAAAAAGTTAAGGTGAGAGTATAATGGGAGACCGGACTCTGGGGGCTGGATTTTGTGTAGAGCCCTGTGGGCAGACGTACCATCCAGGTCAGCCCGCCGCAGGGCCTCACACACTTCCTGGGGGCTCAGCTGGATGCCAACAGTCGGTAGTGCCCCCTTCATGCTCCTCATGTCCAGCTTGCCCTGGGAGCCCGGTTTAAACAGTTGGAAGACATCCTGGAAGGCTGTTGGGGGTGGGGTAGGGATGGTGGGGGTGGAGTTGGTGCCTTAAAAACTTAAAATTGTAAGGGGAAGGGCAAAGGGGAGAGAGGGTTGGAGTAGGGCATGGGAAGGGTTAGCAAGTTAGGTCCCATTTTAAATAAACCCAATAAATGAAAATCTAGATTTACACAAAAGGAGAGCCATTCTTCCATTTACAAAAAGATTTGCTGCATAATTCCTTTTTTTTTTAATGACCTCACCTAACACCTTAGAATTACAAAAATGTGGTTTATACATAGTTCTTTGTAGGTAGTTCTATTACTTTCCACCCCAGCTGGGCACATCTAGCTGTCCTCTCCATCCCAGGGCCTAGATTGGCTTAAGCCTCCCTCCCCACCTGTGTTCCAAATGGAGCCTCTCCCCTCACCTGCCACCTGCCTAGCGGTCAGAGGATGCTCATACTCGGCAGGGATGTCCACTGGTGAAAAGAGGCTAGAGAGGTCTCGTCTCCTATTGGCAAGAGGGCCATCAATCCTGATACCCAAGTACACCCTTACTGTAAGTGAATGCTTTTCCATTTTCACCCCCCTCCTATCCCCTACTACACCTCCAAATAGATTTTTTTTAGTCCCGGGGTCCACCATCAGTCAGCCCCCAAATACTGCTAGTCTTCCCACTCTAGGACAGGAATCTGGGGAAGCAAAGTCCCTCCCCATCTTTCTGAAGCCTACTCTCCCTTCCCCCCGCTCCACTCCCATACATCAAATCCCCAGCCCTCACCTCTGGGGCTTGTCTCCTCCATAAGGCCTTGCCTGAGCCTGTTGGGTAGTGCAAGAGGCCAAAAGTTCTTTCTTCACCTGTGGGGTTAGATCCACTGAGTCTTTCCCCACCTCAGCCTCCAAAGACCCTGGCTCCATCTGGGACAACAGTGTACTAACCAATAGTCCACAGGAACCCTTCTTGTCCTTGGCCTCAAACCCAAACCCTTAAACAAAAGTGCAAGGATGCCTGACTCTGCTCCTCCCTAGGTGACGAGTTAGGAGATTCCAAATTCTGTCTCTGGCATGGGATTTTGGGGCTGGTTACTCATCGACTTTGAGCCTCTGTCCTCATTTCTCAAACAGGGCTGGGGGTGGATCAGATGACCATTTTGCCTGTAAATCTTATAAAACCTCCTCCTTCCCACATACCTCCCCACACACTTCCACTCAATTTTGTTTCTGAATCCTAAGAAAAAGTCTCTTGAGTCTCAAAGAGCAAGGATTGTTGTGTCATTAGGGGGCTTATGGGGAAGGTGCAGAATGACCCTAATACTCCTTCCCCCAAAGTGTAGCCATGACTGTTGAGTCACAGGGGCTGAGCCAGTAGAAGTTCCATCTCTGTTTTGGTCCACTTTTCCCATCTGTGTAGTGTGCCCTCTTGGGGGGACCCAGGTTAGGAAGGTTATATGGGGAGGTGTACTCTGCCTGAAGTCTTGAGAAGTTTGGAGAACAGAAGAGCTCCATCATTATCTTCAGAGGAGAAAGGGAGGTGGTGGGAGGAACAAAACCTCACCTGTACAATTTCTGTATCACTGTGGATCTCCTGGTGCTCTGCTGATGACCACCTGCAACATGGATTCAAAAGGATCTCAGAATTAGCCAAGACCTTGGAGTCCATCTAGGTCAGGGCTTCGTAACCTTTTTTGGTGTCATGGACCTTCTTTGGCTATCTGATGAAGCCTAGGATATGCTTTCTTAGAATAATGTTTTCATATCAGTGAAGGGGAATGCCAAATTTCAGTTTGAAATGAGTGAAAATAATAACGTGACTTGTTCAAGGTCACATAGTTAATCGGTGGCTCTTTAAAACCAGGACTCTTTATATCATACCAAGATGCAGGGCTTCTCCACCCCCACCCCAATCCATCATGATCCTGGCCCTCCCTGCCACCAAAAAACAACCCAGAGAGATGAGTCTGGGCCAGGGGTAAGGAGCCACTCCCCTGCTCTTTTCTGCTCATGTCTAGCCTCTGAACCCTCCCAATCACTCACCTCTGAATTTCTTCCTCTTCCCCCTTGCTGGCTCATTTTCCTTCTTTCGACTTCTTGTCCCCTTCTTCCTGGTCCCTCTACCCTACTCCTCTCTCTGTTCCCTTTCCCTGCCATCCTATGCCATATGCTAGCTCCCAGAAATCTTTTATTTCTTGGCGCCCTCTCTCTTCTTTCCTTCTCTTTTCATTCCTTTTCCCCTTCCCTCCTTTCCCCCTTATCTTTCCTCCAGTTTTGGGGCTGCAGCAAGATCCTTTCAGCCCTATGCCCCTCAGTCCCTTGGACCCTGTTTCCAAGGAAGTTGAGCCTAGGTGGGTATTTTGGCAGTTTTTGAGGATTTTTAATCCTAAAGCCAACGTCTCTGAGACCCTAAAGAAGCTAGCCTACCCCAGTCTAGAACTCTACACTGCCCCCAAAGGAACCTCCCCTAGGGCACCAGCCTCAGGGGATAGGGATGACCTTCCCCTCCACCACAAGTAGCTCAGGACTTTTTAGCTGAAGTGGCATGTCCACTTTAAAGCCTCTTCTCAAAATAGCCGAAGTATAAATCATAAGATCATAGCTTTAGAGCACTGAGTCTGACTCCTTTGTTTGCCTGATGAGGAAACTGAGAGGAATTCCAGTGTTGATCCTTTGACTCTAAATCCAGTACTCTTTCCCCAAATTCATAAATCAATAACCTACATAAGCCCTTGAAAAGTAGTGGGAAAAGTCACTCCCAGAAAATCTTGGTCATCATTCGTCCCAATCTAAGGAGACATCCCTGCTATTCAAATATCCTAGCAGGTTTCACATTCCAGGCCATCAGAGGGATTGCCTCTATTCTGCCCACTGATTGTTTTTACAGACTTAGAAACTGAGGCCCAGGAGGATTCCTCCTCATCTACCATCCACAGAGAAAGCCACAAACCGGACCTAAAGACCCTCAACCTAGGGGCTACCTACTAAGAATGCTGCCATGTTCATCCCTGGTCATTTGGGGCACGGGGCCAGTAGTAAGTTTTGTATGGGAGGAAGTGACTGCAGGCAGAGATGGAAGCAATACTTGCCAGGTGGAGCCTAGGGGAAGCTTGTGGTGGGGGAAGGGAAGTGGGGTGGGGTTCCCTAAAAAAAACCCCAAAACTAAGAAAGATCAGAAAAAAAGAACATTGCAACTGGAAAAGAGCAAATGGGAGCTCAAGGCTCTCTCTATCCAGGAGCCTCAGCACAAAAAAGCGGAGCCGGTGGGGTGGGCCACCACTGGAGGGTTTTATTGATCTTTGGCTAAGCATTTTTAGGATATGATGTGAGGTTGACAGCTTAAAATGTATATGTAGGAATAGTGGGTTTCCACTTCTGATTCTTGACGTGGAGCTGCAACATAAGAGAGACAGAGTCATGGGAGGCCCGGGCCCTTGCCACCACCAGAGGAGAGAAGGGCAGCCTCTCCAGGCTGGAGGCAGTGGTGGGGTGGTGGGAAGGAAATGGGGGAGTTAATATCCCCCCTACCTCCAAGGCTTTTGGAGTTGGCTGTCCATCTGTGTCAGTGTCTGTTTATTCCCACGAAGCACTGGGAGAGGATTCACTGGTCCATAGGCTCCGCACCCCCTTCCATGCCCTCCATGGTTCCCTCCTCACCCTAGAGGCCATGTGTATTGTGTTCAACCCTGGCCCAGGCCAGAGCCAGGCAAGAGTCTGGGGGTGGGGTAGGGGAAGGGATCTATCCATCTGGGCCAGGGGGTTCTCTTTTAGGAAGGGGTCTCAACTCCATGGAAATTATTACCCTTTCTCCTCCTCCACCCCTCATTTATGTGGAACTCTGGGCCTCATTGTCCTCATTCTCCCTGGTTCTGGGGGTTCCTTAGCTACCATCACCCTGTTTCCCCTCCCTCCTCCACCACCTCTGTGATTTCTATGTAGCATCATGCTATTTCCTTGCCCCTACCTGACCTTCCATCTTCTATCCCTTTTCCCCTTCTGGAGGGGGTGGGGTAGTGTTATGTATGTTCCCGTGTGAGAGGAAATGGACAATTCATCAGATCCTCTTCTGCTCCTCCTCCCCAAAAGAACACAAATATATACATATATACAAATGAGGTCTTGAAGGTTGGGTGGGAACTAGGATTCTACTTACTCTTTCCAAGGTCCCGATGACACTGGAGCTAAAGATGGAGAGTGGAGAGGGTTAACTTCCCCTTCCATGGATGCTCTTTCTGAGGCTGCCTTGGTCATGTTCAGAGCATAGCCTGGCTTCGGGGCAAATTCCTGGCTGATGGACTTCTGAGGCTCCCCTGCTTCTGGTGGCTTCAGGAGGGGCAAAGGTGAGACTGGCTGCTCAGTTGCTATGGAAAGGTCCGTGGTCGATTCTTGGGTCATGGGTGACCTGGAGCTCATTCTCAGCCCTGTGGAAGACTTGCAGGAAATCAGAGCTTTGGAATCTAGTATCAGCTCTGTGGAAGAGGAATTGCAAGAGGTCGCAGTACTAGAAACCAGCGCTGGGGGAAGGCTGGCAGAGGTTGGACGAAAGTCTAGTATTCTGAAGTCCAGTGGCTCCGAGAATTTAGCAGACAAGCTTCGGGAAGGTAGCAACTGGATTTCTGAGGGCGACCTTTCTGGTAGTAATACTTGAATGGGGGTCTGTGGTGGGAAACCTTCAATGCCCAGGCTTGGGTGAGAGGTTTGGATTCTAACGTCCTCCATGAACATCTTGGACAATTTGTTGCCAGAGAGCAGGCTTTCCTTGGAGGTTCGTCCAAAAGATTTCTGGAAAGGCCAGTCTCGCATTGGGAATGGGTGGCACCCTATCCCTAATGGCTGCTTGAGGCGATGGTCAGACGCCTGTATCAGCTTGTCTATCCGGAACAGGTGCCTGGAGGTTTGCACAAAGACTGACCGGAATGTATGGTGCAGACCATCCTTCACCGGTAAGGGCTCCGGGCTCCGGGGCTCGTGGGAAATACTTAACTCCAATGCCCCTTTGGGCCCAACAGCCGTCTGGATCTGGACATTCACTCTGGGTCCCGGGGGCATCTTCCTCGGGGTCAGGCTAAATGCCAGATTGGAGGTTTGAACGAAGACGCTGACTGGGACAGGGACTTCGTCTTCTAGCTCGGACTCCGATTCTGGGAGCAGCTGAGGTTCTGGTTCCAGTTCGGACTCCAACTCGGACTCAGACTCCAGGTCCTGCTCGGCTTCCAGGTCAAGGGTGTCATCTAACAGCTGCAGAGGGCAAGAGCCCATGGGCCACCCTCCCTTCCCCAGCACACACACACACACACACACACGCACACACACACACACACACACACACACACACACACACGTGTGTTAACAGTGCCTCAATTGAGGGCAGATCTGCTCACCAATCCCCCCACCACTCCTACCTGGTCTAATGCCCTGGTGCATTTCCTGTTCCCTCCTTGGGGCAAGTGGCCAAGGGGTAGGGATGATGCACACGTGGGGACACAGCAGGCAGAAAGGCCCTGGGAGCTGGGCAACAAGATCTCAGAGTGGGCACAGGGTCTAGGAAGAATGCCAACCCTTCTCCACGGACTCCACCAGTCAGTAGGAGAGAGGAGCTTTCAAGTTGGAAACAGACACTACCGTGGATTACCTCCCATCCCAGGACACACGTCCCCAGAAAAGAGGGTGCCACCCCAACAACAAATCGACTCTCTGTTACCTCGATCTCGTCTTCCCCAGGTTCAGGCGGGGGGTCGGGGTCGTGAAAGTCATCACTGTTAGGAATAAAAAAGAAGGTCGTTGAGCTGGGGGCAAGGAGCAATGGGGGTACATGCGTGTGTGCGTGGGGGGAGGGCATCGAGGCTTCCTCGGTAAGTTTCTCGGGCGCCCGTGGGCCTTCCTCCTCTTGCTAGGAGGCTGGGGAGAGACCTGACTTCCTACATTGAATGCCAGGGTGGGAGGGGGAGTGATTGACCCCTAACAGCGTCCCGTAAGGTCTGGGTCTGACTCATCGAGGAGCGGGTGCAGAGGGAGCAATGAGCCGAGACTCATCGGCTTTTGTAACCCACCCGGCCCCACCCAGCCCGCTCCCCACCGGGGACCCCTCGGCGGGCCCGACAGCCTGAAAGGGAGGGAGCAGGTGCGCTCGGGGTGGGCGGAAGGCAGGCTGAGGAGACGTCTTTAGTTCACCCTGCTTTTGTGCCCCAGTTTGCCACCGCCACTGCCACCACCAAAGACTTGTTTGGAGCTGTGCCGCTCTCTTCTTTGTCATCCCCCTCCTCCAACTCCTCCTCCTCCTCCTCCTCCTCCTCCTCCTCCTCCTCCTCCTCCTCCTCCAACTCCTCCTCCAACTCCTCCTCCTCCTCCTCCTCCAACTCCTCCTCCAACTCCTCCTCCAACTCCTCCTCTGCGACCCTCCTGAAATCCGACCCTTGCTGGCTAAGAGCGTTATAGCTCCCAAAGGACTTGGTCTTGAGTTCCTCCTCGTAGGAGAAGTCAGGGGGGTACTGGCAAGTTACCCCTGAAGTGAACGCAGACGTGCGCTCAGCACATCTATACTCATCACAGAAGGGGAGGCTGTGGAGTTGGTCCCCATCATTCCCTTTCCCTTTCAGGATCCTCCTATTAAGAGCAAAATGGGGTTACGGCTTCCTAGCCTTGAGTTCCTAGTCTCTTGGGAAGTTTCCAATATTCAATGAAGGGATGGAGAAGGCTTGGGGACCGGGGAGCCTTTTTTTTTTTCCTCTTCTTTCCCCTTCCCCAAGTGGTCAGGTTCAAATTTCTGGAGTTGTGTGTGGGGAGTGGGATGAGGAGGAGGGAAGGAGCAGTATGGGGAGATAGGGTGGGAGGCGATAGGACCGTGGGATGGCAGGTGATGTGGGTAGGGGGTGGAGCAGTGAGGAATAATGGAGGTTAGGGACGGGTCTGGGCCTCACTGTGCTTCCACGACCTCCACAGACTTCTTACTACAGCAAGGAAATCCATTGACACCTAGTTAAAAATGGGGAAAATGTGAAAAGTCCATCGCAGAATGCTTCTAAGAAGGCGGCACAGCTGCTCCCTTATCTTTTAACCTTCCATCACGATCAACCCTATCACTTCCAACTCTCATCTCAAACCCATTTCCCACCCTTCATCCCATTCTTGGTCTCTGTATTATTACTCTGTCTCTTTCTGTCTCTCATCTCTACTCATTGACCCCATTCCATTCTATCCCCTATTCTCTCTCCCTCCCTCAAATGTTTCGACCTTACATTTCCACCTATTCTTGGTCTCTCCATCTCTGTCCCTCTGTCTCTGTCACTGATCTCTACTCTATGACCCCATATCACCCTATCTCCTATTCTCTCTCCCTCCATCAAATCCATCTTCCATTTCCATCTCATTCCTGGTTTCTCCATCTCTGTCTGTCTCTCAGCCTGATATCTTTAAGGGGTTTATCCACTCCATCAATTATCCCCTTTTCTATATTGTATACTATTATACATCCCTCCCTCTCAAACTTAAAGAAGTCTTTGCCCACTTAAGGCCCCATATATATTACACTCTCAGGCTTAGAGAAGTTTTTAACCTTAAAATACTTTTCTGAATTTGGCAGTCTGGTAATGCCTATGAAACTCCTCAGGAAAATGTTTTCAAATGCATCAAATAAAATATACAGAATTTACAAAAGAAACCAATCACATTAAAAAATAGTTATCAAAGTTCAAGGTTCCTAAGATAAGCACTGCTGTAAGCATATCTTTTCCTCCCAAATGAATCTGGACATTTCTGATCTCTTTTTCACTCTCTCTCTCTTTCTCACTCTCTCTCTCTCTCTTTCTCTCTCTCTCTCTCACTTTCTCTAGTCTCTTCCACACTAACAACGACTGGAGAACCACTGGAAGGTTTTTACAGTCTTTTAATGATCTCAGTCCAGGCCTCTCCTCTACCCTTTTCCCTTCCCCAACCCAAGGTTTCTTCCCAGCCCCATGTTTATCCTTCTCCCCTTCATTCTTCTGACATTACCCAATCCCAGAACCTTAACTCTAGTTACTTGATCTGGGAAGATGTCTAACAGTCTATACTAGATGTGTGTGTGTGTGTGTGTGTGTGTGTGTGTGTGTGTATGTGGGGGGGGCAGGGGAGAAGATAAGATAAAAATGTGAGATCTTCAAAGGCAAAAATCAAATCTTGGAGAAAGAATGATCCCTGGGCAAGGGGAGACCCAAATACATTATTCTTTCCCCTAAGGTTTGTAAATTTTTTATATGAGAAACTTTCCATCCCATGGTGGTGGTGGGGAATTCTGCAAAACTTCTTTCCTCC